AGGCGACCAGATGGCGACCCGGTGGAGGGCGCCTCCTGTGAACACTTGGAAACCGACCCCAGCCCCTCAACAATGGACTCTATATGCCGGCGTTGTACAATTATAGCGAACGTGTGTAGATGTAGGCGCCCTATAAAAGAGGCCATTGCCAGCTGCCGCAGGGGGGGGCCCCGCGCGCTCATGTGGGGGGCGGGGGGCGGTCTTCATGTCTTCCTCCTGTGCACCAGCATTACTCCACGGCGGCCGCTCGCGCGCCGACTCGGCGTGTCCCGGCGCACGGCAGCGAGGTACAATGTGCGGCAGCACGCAGGATGAAGACAATGAGAGGCCAGCGGCGAGAAAAAGTCGGAGGCGGCCGAGAGGTCTGAACTGGTCGGGTCCCGAGGAAGTCCGTTAAGACCGGGGGGTGAGGCAAATCCGTTCAACATCGCTTCCCAGACCCTTCCTGGGGTCCACCTGGTCCAACGTCTTCACCCCAAATCCGCCTTTTGGCGGCTTCGGGGCTGGAGAACGGCCCCAGATACCGGAAAAGGCAAGCAACCGTCTCGAACCCAGCACCTCGAACGTGCCCCCCCCCCCCCCTCCTGCTGGCCGGAACCAATCCTGGCCCACAGCGCCTGGGAGCGCAACGCCTTCCTGCATGCCACCGTGCGCCCCTGCGTCCGCAGGGCACGCGGGCAACCGCCTCCGTGCGCCACCCGCGCGCGACCCGCGCCCGCCAGCCGCGCGCCCCGCGCCCGCGGAGGCCGCGCCCAGACGAGCCCAAAACGCCCGGGAGCGCAACGCTTGCCGTCGCTCGGACGTCCATTTCCCGTGCATGTTTCGGTTTCGTGCGTGTTTTTTCGCTCGATGATCCAGGATGTTCCTTAAGGGTCCTCGCCGAAAAAAAAATATTCACTGCGTGGAGCTCCCCGTATGTGCATCTCATGTTTTATTCCCCATATCCTAAGATGGGGTTCTTGTTATTACTTGGACGCCTCCTACTCCCTCTCCTTCTCCCTCCTCCTCTTTCCTCCTCCCCTCCTGTCGGACTTACTCATACTCAGACTTGCTCATACTCAGAGTTACTCATACACAGAGTTACTCATACTCAGACTTACTCATACTCAGACCTACTCATACTCAGACTTACTCACACTCAGACATACTCATACACATACTTACTCATACACAGACTTACTCACACCCAGACGTACTCATACACAGACTCACTCATACCCAGACTTACTCCTAAACAGTATTAGTCATACTCAGACTTACTCACACCCAGACGTACACATACACTGACTTTCTCATACACAGACCTACTCATACCCAGATTACTCATACACAGACTTACTCATACACAGTCAGGCATACTCATACTCAGACCTACTCATACTCAGACTTACTCAACACACATCGGATTTGGAGGATGTCTCGAACGGGGCGCTGGTTTCAGCACCCCTAAGGGGAGCCGCCAGGGTTGTTTGCACGGGCTCGTTCGCGGCCATTTTGTGGGGATGTCTCAGGCGGTTCGCCTGTTTCTGGGCTCAACATCCTTCGCTTGGAGAGCAGATTGTGAGGATGTCTCAGGTGGGGCGCTGGTTTCAGCGCCCCTAAGGGGAGCCGCCAGGGGTGTTTGCACAGGCTCGTTCGCGGCCATTTTGCGGGGATGTCTCATGCGGTTTGCTTGTTTCTGGGCTCAACGCCCTTCGCTTGGAGAGTAGATTGTGAGGATGTGTCACCCTAAGGGGAGCCGCCAGGGGTGTTTGCACGGGCTCGTTCGCGGCCATGTTGTGAGGATGTCTCAGACGGTTTGCTTGTTTCTGATCTCCACATCCTTCGCTTGGATAGCAGATTGTGAGGATGTCTCAGGCGGGGCGCTGGTTTCAGCACCGCTAAAGGGAGCTGCCAGGGGTGTTTGCACGGGCTCGTTCGCGGCCATTTTGTGGGGATGTCTCAAGCGGTTTGCTTGTTTCTGGGCTCCACATCCTTCGCTTGGAGAGCAGATTGTGAGGATGTTTCAGGCGGGGCGCTGGTTTCAGCACCCCTAAAGGGGAACCGCCAGGGGTGTTTGCAAGGGCTCGTTCGCGGCCAGTTTGTGGGGATGTCTCAAGCGGTTCGCCTGTTTCTGGGCTCAACATCCTTCGCTTGGAGAGCAGCTTGTGAGGATGTCTCAGGCGGGGCGCTGGTTTCAGCACCCCTAAGGGGAGCCGCCAGGGGTGTTTGCACGGGCTCGTTCGCGTCCATTTTGTGGGGATGTCTCAGGCGGTTTGCTTGTTTCTGGGCTCAACACCCTTCGCTTGGAGAGCAGATTGTGAGAATGTCTCAGGCGGGGCGCTGGTTTCAGCACCCCTAAGGAGAGCCGCCAGGGGTGTTTGCACGAGCTCTTTCGGGGCCGTTGTGTAGGGATGTCTCAGGCGGTTTGCTTGTTTCTGGGCCTGCTCACGTGGACGCGCTATTGTAGTCGACCGCTCACGTTGACGCGCTATTGTAGTCGCGCTCTATGAGCGGTCGACTACAATAGCGCGTCCACGTGAGCAGGCCCAGAAACAAGCAAACCGCATGAGACATCCCCACAAAATGGCCGCGAACGAGCCCGTGCAAACACCCCTGGCGGCTCCCCTTAGGGGTGCTGAAACCAGCGCCCCGCATGAGACATCCCCACAATCTGCTCTCCAAGCGAAGGATGTCGAGCCCAGAAACAAGCAAACCGCGTGAGACATCCCCACAAAATGGCCGCGAACGAGCCCGTGCAAACACCCCTGGCGGCCCCCCTCAGGTGTGCTGAAACCAGCGCACCGCCTGAGACATCTTCACAATCTGCTCTCCAAGCGAAGGAAGTTGAGCCCAGAAACATGCGAACTGCCTGAGACATCCCCACAAAATGGCAGCGAACGGGCCCGTGCAAACACCCCTGGCGGCTCCCCTTGGGGGTGCTGAAACCAGCGCCCCGCATGAGGCATCCTCACAATCTGCTCTCCAAGCGAAGGATGTTGAGCCCAGTAGCATGCGAACCGCTTGAGACATCCCCACAAAATGGCCGCGAACGAGCCCTTGCAAACACCCCTGGCGGCCCCCCTTAGGGGTGCTGAAACCAGCGCACCGCCTGAGACATCCTCACAACCTGCTCTCCAAGCGAAGGATGTCGAGCCCAGAAACAAGCAAACCGCATGAGGCATCCTCACAAAATTGCCGCGCACGAGCCCGTGCAAACACCCTTGGCGGCTCCCCTTAGGGGTGCTGAAACCAGCGCCCCGCTTGAAACATCCTCACAATCTGCTCTCCAAGCGAAGGATGTTGGGCACAGAAACAAGCAAACCGCCTGAGACATCCCCACAAACTGGCCGCGAACGAGCCCGTGCACACTCCACTGGCGGCTCCCCGTAGGGGTGCTGAAACCAGCGCACCGCCTGAGACATCCTCACAATCTGCTCCCCAAGCGAAGGATGTTGAGCCCAGAAACAGGCGAACCGCTTGAGACATCCCAACAAACTGGCCGCGAACGAGCCCGTGCAAACACCCCTGGCGGCTCCCCTTAGGTGTGCTGAAACCAGCGCCCCGCCTGAGACATCCTCACAATCTGCTCTCCAAGCGAAGGATGTTGAGCCCAGAAACAAGCAAACCGCCTGAGACATCCCCACAAACTGGCCGCGAACGAGCCCGTGCAACACTCCTGGCGGCTCCCCTTCGGGGTGCTGGAACCAGCGCCCCGCCTGAGACATCCTCACAATCTGCTCTCCAAGCGAAGGATGTTGAGCCCAGAAACAAGCAAACCGCCTGAGACATCCCCACAAAATGGCCGCGAACGAGCCCGTGCAAACACCCCTGGCGGCTCCCCTTAGGGGTGCTGAAACCAGCGCCCCGCCTGAGACATCCTCACAATCTGCTCTCCAAGCGAAGGATGTTGAGCCCAGAAACAAGCAAACCGCCTGAGACATCCCCACAAAATGGCCGCGAACGAGCCCGTGCAAACCCCCTGGCGGCTCCCCTTAGGGGTGCTGAAACCAGCGCCCCGCCTGAGACATCCTCACAATCTGCTCTCCAAGCGAAGGATGTTGGGCCCAGAAACAAGCAAACCGCCTGAGACATCCCCACAAAATGGCCGCGAACGAGCCCGTGCAAACACCCCTGGCGGCTCCCCTTAGGGGTGCTGAAACCAGCGCCCCGCCTGAGACATCCTCACAATCTGCTCTCCAAGCGAAGGATGTTGAGCCCAGAAACAAGCAAACCGCCTGAGACATCCCCACAAAATGGCCGCGAACGAGCCCGTGCAAACACCCCTGGCGGCTCCCCTTAGGGGTGCTGAAACCAACGCCCCGCTTGAGACATCCTCCAGATCTGATGTGTGTTGAGTAAGTCTGAGTATGAGTAGGTCTGAGTACGAGTATGCCTGAGTATGAGTAAGTCTGTGTATGAGTAAGTCTGTGTATGAGTAAGTCTGGGTATGAGTATGTCTGTGTATGAGAAAGTCAGTGTATGTGTACGTCTGGGTGTGAGTAAGTCTGAGTATGACTAATACTGTTTAGGAGTAAGTCTGGGTATGAGTGAGTCTGTGTATGAGTACGTCTGGGTGTGAGTAAGTCTGTGTATGAGTAAGTCTGTGTATGAGTATGTCTGAGTGTGAGTAAGTATGAGTATGAGTAGGTCTGAGTATGAGTAAGTCTGAGTATGAGTAAGTCTGTGTATGAGTAAGTCTGAGTATGAGCAAGTCTGAGTATGAGTAAGTCCGACAGGAGGGGAGGAGGAAAGAGGAGGAGGGAGAAGGAGAGGGAGTAGGAGGCGTCCAAGTAATAACAAAAACCCCATCTTAGGATATGGGGAAAAAATACACACGTCCGAGCGATGCCAGGATCGTGCTCCTGAATGCCTCAGTGCGCCCCGGTGTCCGCAGGGAGCGCGGGAAGACGCATCCGAGGGTTCCTGGGACCGCCCTGCGACCGCAGGCCGCCCGACTCCGACGGGCCATCGCTCGGACGTCCACTCCCCGCGCATCTTTCGGTGTCGTGCGCATCTTGTTTCCGCCAAAGATGCTCCTCGATCGTCCTCGCCGACGAACTGCACGCGTCCGAGCGATGCCACGTCCTGCTGCAAGCAGAGAGGGCGCCAGGGCGCGCGAGCCCCCGTTACCAAACTCAGTCCGAGCTCAGCGGTGTGCCCGAGCCCTGGCGGGGAGCCCCGAGGCTCCATGTAAGGACAACTCGGCGAGGACCCTCGCCGACGAGGAGCATGCCGCCGACGACACATCCGCCTCGTCCTCGTCCTACACGGGTCGCGCGCCCCCCTTCCAGCAGGAATGGTGAAAACCGTGGCGCCCAGACGCGTCAGGTTGCGAAAGGCCCGACAGGAGGAGGGGAAGGAGGAGGAGGAGGAGGAGGAGGAGGAGGAGGAGGAGAAGGAGAGGAGGAGGAGGGGGAGGAGGGAAAGGAGAGGAGGCGGAGGAGGAGAGGAGTGGAGGGAGAGAGAGATGGAGGAGGGGATGAGGGGAGGACAAGGAGGAGGAGAGGAGGGGAAGAGGAGGAGGAGGAGGAGGAGAGGAGGAGAGGGCAGATGAGGAGAGGGAAGGACGGGGAGGAGGAGGAGGAGGAGGAGGAGGAGGAGGCGGAGAAGGTGAAGAAGGAAGAGGAGGAGGAGGTTTCCTCAAAGCTCCCCCCAAACCAAGCACTCCGGGGCAGGCACAGCCGCGAAGCGCGGCCGCTTTTGAAGCCACTGCGTCCGATCGGCACAGCGCAGCCTCGGACGCCATCGGGGCAAACTCGTGGGCGCACGCTTTTGCCCCCCTCGTGGACGTCGGCCGCGGCGTAGCTGGAACCTCGGAATCAATGTGCTGCGCGGCCAGCAGCGCCGACGAAAAGGCACATCCTGGAAGGGGCCCTGCTGCGGACACGCAGCCCCCTCGCGCGCCAAGGAACGCACGCGACGGGCACGGCCAGGTCCAAAATGCGCATGTCCTTCATGGGCGGAAACGGGTCGAAGCACCGGAACCTCTTCGATTTGCATCTCCATCGCCTGCTCGCCTATGCCATGGTCGCGGAGCCGTAAGAGTGTCCTCCTCGCCGAGCCCGTCGACTTTCTATTCTCGAAATATACCATCAAGAACCCTAATAAGGACGCGCGGTAAGGACGCAAGACTCTTGGAAGCCGAAGTTGGGATGATTGGGGCGGCGGACGACGAAAACCCCAAAGACGCAAGAGCAAGGAAGAGCAAGGGCGCAAGGGTACCCTGGGCAGAGTCGCGCGTCCTGATTAGGGTTTTTGGCTGCACCGAATGGTTCCGACAGTGCGCCCGTGGACCCGGATGTAAGCCTCGGCATGGTCGCCCTGACAGCGGCCTGAGGTCTCCACCCACTCCCTGTTGAAACCCAGAATCGCAGAATCGCAGAATCGTCCATCCACTCCTTGTTGAGACCCAGTCGCAGAGACCCAGAATCGCAGAACATTCTTGCAGGCTGCTCCGTCCAGAACCAAACGGACACGTAAACGAGTACCTGGTGGCGGGCAGCGCTCCAGCCGTTCCAGCCACTACCAAACTAGCCACGAGTGCCCCTGACAAGGCTGCGCCCTCAAGATACTTAACCTCTCTGTGCACGACCCCCGTGTGGCCCAGGCGCGGGGCAACGAGAAACTCATCTCGCTCCCGGTGGCATGTTGCGACCACAGGTCCTCACCAACCCCTTCGGCGTTGTACTAACCGCTGGTTTTCGTCTGGACGAGCGTCAAACGAGTTCAGTCCAACAATCCTCCGCCGATGGTCATCAAAACGGTAAGTCCCCCAGACCTTGCACAGCTTCCTGAAGGCCAGCCTGCGCTTGTACACCTCGGCGGTCTCGCCAACAACCACCCGCTCGAGAGCGTTGATAATTGCCACAGTTGGACGAGGTGCTTCATGGCGGCTGCCCGACAGAAGCCATTTTCCCTGCGCCATCGCCTCACGAACGAAGTTCTAGACCATGTGGTCTGAAGCGAACATATCCGGGGGGCAGGCGCCGTCACCTCTTTCGAGAAACCCGATCGCTTCCAGCCCTGCTGTGAGAACAAGGCGCCGTGCGCCTGCATGGCTCCTCCAAACACACCTGCAGAGATTCCAAGATGTCGCACATCGTGTGAAAATCGTGCCTGTTCCCCGGCCATCAGAAACGACCTCACCTTTACACGCTCACGGGATCTCTTCTCCAACGTTGTCGCCAGGGCGGCCCTGGGCGACACTGCGAGGAACAGCCGCGGGGGCGACTGGACCACTTGGGCAGCCGACCCACCGGCAGGCCAGCTTCCAAGACGAAATCGACAGGCAATGACACGTACTTCTCCCGCTCCTGCTGCTGAGCCGCCTCACGGCTCCGCGGGTCCTGAGTCCCACGGATTCTCGCAAGAGCTGTGAAGAGGTTCATGCCACGCGTGGCCTCGAACCCACAGGAGGCGTCGCCGCCACTGCTGCCGAGGACACGTCCTTCCTGCGCCTGTCCTGGTCGAGCTTCGCCCGCTCAAAACCCACGGTGATGTCGGCCTCGGGATCCAGAAACGACGACATGCGTCGGATGCGAGCCTCCTTGAACTTCACAGCACAGCTACGGCCCATGCAGCAACGAAGTGCTTGGCTGAGGACTCCAAATCGCTGGTGGGCAATATGGGAACGAACGTCTTCACCAGCTCCGCCGCCTCCGCGATGTCACCATCCCCCAGCAGCCCACTGACGATGACGACCTTGGGACCCTCAGCTTCTGCGTGCTCGGGTGCGAGCGCCACCGATGCTGCCTGAACTCGGGAAACCGCCCATGCTGCAGACCAAGCCGTTGCAAGCGGCCGACAGGAGACAGGGCGCCCCAGGCGCCCCATCTGCGACGACTCGGGCCATCGGCTACACGCAAGAGTGACCCTGGGTAAGAGTGACCGTTGGTGCGCGGCTTTTTGGGGGCAGCGTGGGGACCAAGCCTCGGCGCGCAAGCCGTTGCTCCTGCTTCAATTTCAACCATCTGGGGGCCCATCTGTGCCCGCACCAAAGGTCACTCCGGCGGAAGGTCACTCTTACGTCTAGTCGAGGCCAGACCCTGCAAAGTGCCGGCACTGGGACGGGATCCAAGTGGGACAAGTCCCCTGAGGCTGGAGGAAGAACGGGGAGGACGAGGGCAACGGAGGAGGAGGAGGAGGAGGAGGAGGAGGAAGATGAGGAGGGGGAGGAGGAAGAGGAGAAAGGGGAGGAGGAGGCGAAGGAGGAGGAGGAGGAGGAGGAGGAAGAGAAGGAGGAGGAGGAGGAGGAGGAGGAGGGGAAGGAGGAGGGAGGAAGGCGAGGGGGGAGGGTGGAGGGAGGAGGGTGGCTCGCGCCGGTCCTGGCCGTGGGCGCCGAGGCGGACCGACTCGGTGAGGTCGGAGGCGCCGCTGCCGACCCAGGAGCCCCAGGCGGACAGCGAGCCGTGCGGGCCGCCGAGCATCCTGGCGGCAGCGCTCGCGCCCGCGGGTTGTCCCCCTCTGGGGCCTGTAGGGGAACAACAAATCACATGAGCGTAATCTTTTGGAAGTCCGCGCGGACCTCTGAGTTCATGTTTATGACAGTGGTTGACCCCCCATCCTCAGGCCTCAGCCTCCAAGGACCCCCTCACGTCGCGATCAAAACAGTACCATCGCCATCACCATCACTATCACCATCAACACCACCATCACCACCACCAGCATTATCACCATCACCGTTACAATCACCATCACCAAGATCAGCATCATCACCACCATCTTTGTCATGAGCACAACCAAGACCCCCACTACCATCATCATCACCATCACCATGACTAACACCATCATGCCTGGCAGTGTTCGACCTCTTTGGGCCCTCGCAGAGTCTCGGGACAGTCAACAAACCAGTGCGGATGAAAAACCGCACTCCCACTGGAAATGGGTCGAGAACTGCGAGGATCGAGACGAAAGAACGCAAGGAAGGCACATCAGCGCGTCCGGCTGTACAGGCCAGTATTTCATACATCGGATTTTTGGATTAAAAAACATCGGACGTTTAATACATGATTATTCTATGCATCAATGTATGCATGATTAATACAAATCCCTGCATGTGTAATACATGATCCGCACGCGGAGCATGTGTAAAATACTACTCTGTACCGCCGCGCTGCACCTTTCCAGGTGTCTGCCAGGATGGCAGCCACACCTGCCCACCTGATGCAGCCTGTGCAAGCAGTCACTCCGAGCGTGCTTCGTTCACACATGCGCTCCGGGGCCGAGAGCGTGCGAACACCATGACGTCGGGGGTCAGGGGCGTCGGCCTCGCTCCGCCTTCCCCGTGTCGGGCCACGCCGGTCCCGCCCCCGACCTCTGCCTCTGGAGGAGGGGGAGGAGGGGGAGGAGGAGGAAGAGGAGGAGGAGGCGGAGGAGGAGGAGGAGGTGGAGGGGGAGGAGGAGGGGGATGTGGAGGAGGAGGAGGAGGAAGAGGAGGAGGAAGTGGAGGAGGATGAGGAGGAGGAGGAAGAGGAGGAGGAGTTCGAGACGCGCTGACATCCATCAGGGGTCAGTGGATCCGGCGCGTGATCGCCAGACCTAATTACGGCTCGTGGAGTGGGCTCCCCAAAACGCGAGGACAATGCCGTCTACTTCGGCGACGGAGCAAGCCGATTCTGCACAGCAGCCGGACCCGTCGCGAATCCACGCGCCCTGACTCATCAATGTGCTTTTTCTCCTCGATTCCTTCCGCATGTCGGGCCACGCTGCTCCCGCACGGCGCTCTCCCCGTCCAGGGGCCAAATTGGCCAGGGTCCTATGAACTATCGCCGGCGCGCCCGAACAGACCCTTGAGAAGTCTGGCTACCCGGCGCCCAGCTACGAGAACGGCGCCTCTGCACCGTACCGTGTCTGGGCACCCCGTCGGGCCCCGCTCTAGCGCGGCACGGTGCAGAGTTGCTGCTCGGCTGAAGTCGGGCGTGTCCCCCTACAGGGGGATTTTCGACGAGCCAAACAATACTCAAGAAATACTCCAGAAGGGTCAAAAAATGCGCAAAAACAATCCCCAGACTATTTTCTGACTATTTCTGAAAATTCCCCCTGTAGAGGGACAGGCCCGACTTACTCCTAGAAGAAAACACAAAAAAACGCCATGAGCAAAAACTTTCGGCGCTGCGCGCCGACTTCTTGGATCCGCGCTGGCGCGCTGGCCCCCCCCTCCCTGGCGCGCGGAGCTGGCCCGGGGCGGCGCCGGCCGGCGCCGCCGGGGGCGCCGGGGTCCCCGAAATCCGCGCGGAGCTTACCAGTTTGAAACATATCCCTATCCCTATGTTTGACATCACCTCACCTCGATGCCGATCTTAAGGAGTCCCTCAGTTTCTGAGGGCATATCCCTAAGATTGTCCTCACTTTTTGCTCGCCCATCTTAGGGGTAGTGACATGTTCGAGGCTGGTTAGAAGCGCCAAACATCCAAGGTCATGGCGTGCTCCTGCTTCGAGTTCCCGGGCCGAGGCTCGGCGACGCCTCGAGAGGCGCCGCCGTGGTGCCATGCACACGCGTCGTCCGAAGGGCCGCGGGCGCCGGCCGCCTCGCACACCCCGTGCCTGTTCCTGCTGCAGCGCCCGGCGCCAGGCCCCTCGTGCCCTTTCCTTCCTCGGCCTCGTCCCCTTCCGCGTCCTCTGCCGCTTCCTCCTCCTGGTCCTCTTCCTCTTCCTCGTCCTCTGCCGACTCCTCTTCCTGGTCCTCTGCCTCTTCCTCAACCTCGTCCCCTTCCTCGTTCTCTTCCTCTTCCTCTTCCTCATCCTCGTCCTCTTTCTCTTCCTCGTCCTCTTCCTCGTCCCCTGCCTCTTCCTCGTCCTCCTCCTCCTCTTCCTCTCCCTCCTCGTCCTCGCCCTCTTCGATCGTTCCCCCCTTCAGGCGCCACGCTCCACTGCAGTCGCTGCACTGCGGCATGACAGCGCCAGGACACAGGAAAGAACGGCAAACCAGAACAGGCGACAGCAAGAACTCCTCTTCCTCGTCCCCATTGCCCTTCCCCCTCGCCCCCCGCCCTGCCTCCGCAGGGCCCCGGGGGCCAGCTCCTGGCCAGACCAAGCGAGCGAGGGGCAAAGGAATGGCGCACGCTTCGGCCCGCGGCGGTGGCTTTCTCGGGCGCGCCACCGCCCTGGCTCACCCACGTCCCCGCTCGCGCGGGCCTGCGATCCTTCCTCGTGGACGATACGGGGGGGGACTGGCTCGCTGCGGGGGGAGGAGGAGGAGGGAGGAGGTGGAGGAGGAGGAGGAGGAGGAGGAGAAGGAGGAGGAGGAGAAGGAGGAGGAGGAGGAGGTGGAGAAAGGTGAGGGGGATGCGAGGAGTAGAGTGGAAAGAGATAAGGAGAGAGAAGCAGAGATGATGAGGAGGGTCGGCCAAGGCCTTCGGATAGCCCATCCAACCCTAACCGCCCGGAAACCGGGTGGCGCCCCTGACCTGCGCTCAAAACCCGGGGCCGACCGGACCGGAGGCACCAGCTGGCAGCGCACCGCACTCCGCCGAAAGCTTGAGGCCAGCCCCTCGCGAGCGGAGGCACCGGGCGCCTCCCCCTCGCGCACGCCGACGTTGGCGACCTGTCCCCTCCTCACCTCTTTCTCCTCCTCCCCCTCGCTGCGGCTTCTCCACTCCTCGTCCTGCCTCCTCCTCCTCGTTCTCCAGCGCGGTCTACTACACTGATCCCCTCCTCCTCCTCCTCCTCCTCCTCCTCCTCCTTTCGTCCTCCTCCTCCTCCTCCTCTTCCTCCTCCTCCTCCTCCTCCTCCTCCTCCTCCTCCTCCTCCTCCGCTCAAACGGACGGGTGGCCTGCACCCAAAGCGGCACGGGAGTGTATAGGAAGCCGGCTGGAGGCCCGGTGAAGGAACCAGAGAGACAAGGCACGAGCCTCCCACAGACCAGGGTCAGTCAGGCCTTGCAGAAGCCTGCGAGACCCTGCACCCAAGCCTGGGGCAATGCGCAGAATCCTTGCAGGATCATGCACCCAGACCCGGTTCAGTGTGACCCTGGCCCTGCAGGATCCTGCAAGATCGGGCGCTCGGGCTGACCAGCGTTTGCACTGACCCCCGTCTCGAGACTCCCGACATCCTCTGGGATGCTTATCGCCGGAGGAGTGGGGAGATGCTCGTTGTGGGGGCGCTCCTGGAGCCACGATAGCTGCACTCATGCGTCGGTGCTGCGTGAACCGAGCTGGAATCGAACTTGCGGTGAACCCGAGTCGAGCTGGGGTCGAACTGGGTCCGAACGGGGATCGAACAGATCGGCGAATGTGGGCCCAAGGAAGGTCCCCCAAACGTACCTCTCAGCAGAGGTCGACGACGAGCGACAGGGGGGAAGTGGAAAGGAGAAGGCCTCAGAAGGCGGCGGGACATCTCTCAGAAGCCCCTCGCGCCCTCTCAGAAGTCTTCCCTGTGTCTCCGGTCCGGGGAAGACTCAGACAACTTCTGAGCAGGTTGGGGGGCTTCCGAGCCTTCTGAGAAGGCCTTCTCCTTCGCTCCTTTAGCTGCCCCGACACGCAGCACGCAGCCCGCAACGTGTGGACCCGGAGCTCCACACGCGGACTGCCCACGCAGGTCTGGCGCGACACGCTCACCAAAAAACATGGGCCGACACGGTGAGCCGACACGCAGCGTGTCAGCACGGGCGTTTTTGAACACGGTAAGTGCGTGCTGCGTTTCAAGACGGGCGTCTCAGGGCAGCCAAAGTGAGCAGGGCTGGGGGTCCAGGTCTGCAGAAGACCCCAAACGGACGTCAAGGGGCGCAACCAACCTGTTCGATCAAGCTAGAAACTGCTGCGCCACACCGGGCGTTCAGCCAAAACTTTGGACATCAACGAATGGTTGGATGTTGCACATCCTCGTCGGCTTGACCAGCGAGGCGCGTAACCACCTTGACGTCCTTTTCTGGTGGCCCTGCAGAGGAAGGCGCTCCCTGACCCTCGGCCCTACTCAACAACTGCGGTAGGTTCGTGCGGCGTCCGCGCGCGAAGGTTTCTGACACCGCGTCGATCATTCGACCTTGAATCGATCACGGCCATGATCGTTCAGGGTTGAATTCCCTCGGGCTCAGAGGCGTTACCGTGTCCGCCGGTGCTGCCGCATCGCAGAATTCAAACTTGAACACCTTGCCGCATGAACCTACAGTCGGGTCGTTGACCTAAGGAACCCTACATAGGGAACGAGGCCCCTTTTTCCAATCAGTTAAAGTTCGATGTCCCATCGAAAACCTCCGGAAAACCTGAGGCAAGCTGTGAAACACTCAAGGAGACCGGAGCCCCTCCCCAACGAAAAGGGTTCCTTCTTCAGCGCCCCGACTGTACCGTAAGCGCACTTCCCCCGTCGCTCCTTCGAGGCTCGTGGGTCCCCGTCGCCGACGCCAGCGGTGGGCCCCCGTCGCTCCCTCCTGCCACAGCGCGCCGCGCGCGCGCGAGCGGGGCTCGAGCGTGAGCCGGGGGGGGGGCCTTTGGCCGCCGGGGGGGGGGGGGGGGGGGGCACCCGCGGCGCCCTTCCGCGCCTCGGGGGAGGCAAGGGGGGAAGGGGGGAAGGGGACGAGGGCCTGGGCTGCAACGGAGGAGGGCAAGGGCGAGGGAGCGGGCGAGGGCGAGAGAGAGGGCGAGGGCGAGAGAGAGGACGAGGGCGAGAGAGAGATGGCGAGGGCGAGGGAGAGGGTGACGGCGAAGGGTGGTCTGTCGCCGGCGCCCGACGCCCGCTCTGAGCGCGTGGTCGCAGGAGGCGACACGGCATAGCGCCTCGCCGAGCCGAACACGCCGCCGCGCGCGCCTAGCACGCCAACCCGTCCGCCAGAGCGGCGCCCACCGCCTTGCACGAGGGCGAGGGGTGCCGCAGTGGTTTCGGCCTGTGGAGCAGCAGCTTTGGCTTTCTCCTGGCGCAGTGCACCGTGCTCGCCTGGCTTCTGGCTGGCGCCGCCACCCACTCCTCTACAGGAAGTGTTCGCAAACCGAGCCGCATATCCCGACCGAAGGCAGTGTGCTCGCCAGAGATAGGTTTGCCAGCGCGGATCCCACATATGGAGCTGTTTCAATGTGGAGGTGAACGCGAGGCAACGTACGGTGTAACCTATGCGGTGTGAACTATACGATGCAAGCTAAGCTGTGAAAGCCGTGCGGAGAAAGCTATTTAGTGTGAGCTATGTGATTTGACCTATGCGGTGGGCGGTTACGCTACGTGGTGAACGCTTAACGATATGAGATATGTGGTGTGCGCAATGCTGTGTTACGTAAGCTACGTGGTGTGAGCTATGCAGTGTGAGCTAGGTGGTGCAAACCATGCTGTGTGAGCTAGGTGGTGTGAGCAAGGTGGCGTGAATACATGATGCACGATATACCGTTGCAACCTATGTTGTGTGGGCTACGTGGTGTCAGCGAAACGGCGGAGTCCGTATGGTGACATAGATATTGAGGAAACCAAAGGGAGCCGATACTGCCACTCCCCGGGCCTCTCCCAGGGTGCGTTCCGACCAGAAATTCGAGGCGAATCCAAAGGTGGCGACGAGGGCCTCAGAGGAGACCCAAAAAGAGGCAAACGGGCGGAGGGTGGCGGTATAGGTACCTTCACCTCCTCTGAGATGTGTGGTGTGCGCTGTGTGGTGCAGCCTATGCGGCGCAGGCCACGTGGTGGAAGCTGCGTGGTGCGAACAAACCTCCGTCGTTAGTGGGCTTGTCTTCCAGCGCCACCACCATAAGCAGGAGGGGGAGGGGGTCCTCCTCCTCCTCCTTCTCCCATCCTCCTCCTCCTCCTCCTCTTCCTCCTCCTCCTCCTTCTCCTCCCCCTCCTCCTTCTCCTCCTCCTCCTCCCCCTCATTCTGCTCCTCCTCCTCCTCCTCCTCCTCCTCCTTGTCCTTCCCCTCCTCCTCCTCCTCCTCCTCACTCCTCTCCTCCTCCTCTCCTCCCTCTCCCTCCTCCCCCTCCTCCTCCTCCTCCTCCGCCTCCTCCTCCTCCCCTCCTCCTCCTCCTCCTCCTCCTCCTCTCCTCCTCCTCCTCCTCCTTCCTCCTCCTTCCTCCTCATCCTCCTCCTCCTCCTCCTCCCCTCCTCCTCCTCCTCCTCCTCCTCCTCCCCTCCTCCTCCTCCTCCTCCTCCTCCTCCTCCTCCTCCTCCTCCTCCTCCTCCTCCTCCTCCTCCTCCTCCTCCTCCTCCTCCCCTCCTCCTCCTCCTCCTCTCCTTCCCATCCTCTCCTCCTCCTCCTCCTCCTCCTCCTCCTCCTCCGTCCTCCTCTACTCCCCTTCTACCCGTTCACCTCTCCTCCTCCCCCTCCCCTCCCTACTCCTCCTCCTCCTCCTCCTCCTCCCCTCCCCCTCCTCCTCCTCCTCCTCCCCTCCTCCTCCCCCTCACCCCCTCCCCCCTCCCCTCCTCCCCCCCCTCCTCCGCCTTCCCCTCCCCCATGAGGACCAAGTAATTTAAGGCCTCCTCCTCTCCTCCTCCTCCTCCTCCTCCTCCCCTCCTCCCCTCCTCTCCCCCTCCTCTTTACAGGGGGAGGGGGGGCAACGACTGGGCGTTGGAGTTGGGGGCGTTGGAGAACTGGGCTTAGTGGGGCCGGTTAGGTGGTGTGTACTTTGGACTCGCCCCCCCCCCCGCCCCGCCCCAGTCCACTAAAAGGAACTGCCGTCAACCCCAAAATACACCAGCTACGGCAGACCTGGTTTAGTGATTCTGGCCAATTCAGGGGCTCTGGACTAACCGGGTCCCCTTACCTGGGGTCCTGGCTTGACCCGACCAAAGACTAAAAACAGTTGGGGGGCAACGACCGGGGGGATCTTCGCCGAGAGGACTAAGGTTATGTTGCTCCGTGCTGAAATGGACCACGTCCCAGAAATAATGGCGAGCACCCAGAAGAGTGTCGAAACAGTGTCGAACGCGTGTCGAAAACCCTCGACTTTCGGTGCTCCTTGGTGCTCGAGATTCTTTCTGGAAAACAAGGCTACAGTACGTTGAAACATCATAAGACGAAGGAGAAATTTGAGCCCCATTGGAGGGTCGCATCGCCACACTTGAACGCCGCGGATCACGCGGGAGTGAGCCGGACTATCAGCGGGAGCAAGCGAAATCTGGGCAGATCGAGCGGGCTGCGGCCGGACTTCACCGGAGGTCGGACCAGGGCAGAGTCAGAACTTGACGCCCCAAGAGTTACATCCAAGCACCAGCACGAGCAGAGCGAGACCCCCGAAGCGCGGCTCGGGGGTGCTCTGCGGAACGAGCGCGCAGGAGCCTCGGCCTCTCAAGTCTGCTCCGCCTCTCCCCTTGTCTGGCCTGCGTCGCCTGCCCCGCGCACCGCGGCACCCCGCTGGAGCCCACTCTCGCGCCGTCCCCCCCCCAGGACAGAAGACTGCTCGCACCGGCCGGGTCCTCTCTTCGAACACCGGCGCCAGTGAGGACGTGGTCGTCGGCACGGTTGTCGTCCGAGGAAGCATCGGAGCTCCTGTGCGACGCGCGCGGCGAGCGAAGAACGCTACAGGTGGGACGGGATGCACAGATGTGTCGGGCCGGGCGAAAGGGGGGTATAGCAAAGGGTGGGTTTGAGAATCGGCTCACGTAGCTGATTTTCGCGGCGCAAGCCAGCTCCGGAGGCAGCTATGTATCGAGGACTGGGCCCCTCGATGAGGCCGAAACTAGCTGCATGCAGCAAATTTCGTAAACCCCGCAGCAAATTTCGTACCCCCCCCTCTCCCAATCCCCCCCTTTCGGCCGCCCCGGGGATGTGGGACGAGTGGGGTCCGCCATGACTGGCGAGCCATCCGGCGGTGCGGGCCGGGAGAACTCGAGAGGAGGCGCGAGGGGACGCGGCGGGCCCAGCGAGCGACATGGACGGGCACGCGCGCGCGGCGCAGCAGGACAACTGGATACAAAACGCGTTCCCCAGAGGGCGTGCGACATTCAGTAAGGGGGTATCAACCTGCTCGTTCGACCACGACGTCGTAGGATGTATGACCGGGTAGCAGGACGAGCACCTCCGCTATGGCCAAGAAGCGGAAGTCGCACGGCAACCCATTTTCTCAAACTGTGGCTCTCGCCTTAGTGCCGCGCACATTCGTTTTCAACCTTTGTAACAGTTTCACGGATTGAGGGCGGTTCCTTTTCAACATGTGGCTACAGCCTTCGTCCCTCCGAGCTTCCTTTTCATAGGCCCTACAACGGATCATTTCCATTGAAGGAACTGCCTCGTTGGAAGACAACCGCTTGAAGACCCTGAAGCATGCCAAAATATGGTTCTCGGGGTCCAACGCCACGGATCAGTTTGACCGTTACTGTTTGACGGTCTTGAATCGTGCCAGAACGCCGTTCTTGGTATTCAACGTCGCGAATGAACGTAACTGCTGAGCCCTCATAATCTCGAATCCTTTCAACACAACCCGTTCGTTGATCTTGGGAATCCGTGAATCTCTTGAAAATTATATAAACGAATGTGCGCGGTGCTGATGCGAGAGCCACATTGTGAAAAGGAGCCGCCCTCAATCCGTGAAGCTCTGGCAATGTTTAAACTATTCCAACATCGTTGATGACCCTTGAGTTTCCACTGGTCCTCCTCCTCCTCCTCCGCTTCCTCCTCCTCCTCTTCCTCCTCCTCCTCCTCCTCCTCCTCCTCCTCCTCCTCCCCGCAATCGTCTTCGCCGTGCTTCAGCTGCTGCTCCGACCAATCCTGTCGTCGACGTGGTCAGCAGCCCGCCGAGCAACCCGCCTCGCCCGCCGCGCGGGGGAGGGGGGGGGCGGAGGGGGCGTTGGTGGCGAGCTTTGGCGGGAGGTCGGTGGGTGGGTGGGGGGGGGGGGGGGACGGGCCATCGAACCGCGCGGGGAGAGAAGGAGCCCCTCGGGGGCGAGGATGAGGACGTGGAGAAGGCGGGAGGAGGAGGAGGAGGAGGAGGAGGAGGAGGAGGAGGAGGAGGAGGAGGAGGAGGAGGAGGAGGAGAGGACGAGGAAGAGAGGAGAAGAGGAGGAGGAGGAGGAAGCAGGAGTGAGGAGGGAGGACGCATGAATTGAGGAAGGAGGATGAGGAGAAGGAGGAGGAGAAGCGGGGACAAGGACAACGACAAGGACAGGGCGAGCCAGGGAACGCGCAGCGCCTCTGGCCAGGCATGGGCTCTTGCGGAGGGGGGGGGGCGTCCAGCAAGAGAATTGAAACCCTCCTGACGGTGGCTACGGGGGGAATTCGTCCCCTCCGTGCGCGGCCTCCCAGCATGGTGCAGCTCTTGGCGTCGGTGGTTTTGTGGGGAGTTCGTGGGGGGCGGGGCGGGAACCGAGTGCGGCTCGCCGCTCTGCCCCCCCCCTTTCAGGCGCCCGCGGCATCCCAAAGAGGGGGGGGGGGTTCCAGGTGGGGGCGTCCAGGAATGGACGGGGAGGGATGAGGATAGAGGAGGAGGAGGAGGAGGAGGAGGAGGAGGAGGAGGAGGAGGTGGAGGAGGAGGAGTAGGACAGAGGAGGCAGAGGAGGAGGAAGGAGGAGGAGGAGGAGGGGATGAGGAGGAGGAGGAGGCGGAGGCAGGCAGAGGAGGAGGAGGAGGAGGAGGAGGAGGAGGAGGAGGAGGAGGAGGAGGAGTAGACAGAGGAGGCAGAGGAGAGGAGGAAGGAGGAGGAGGAGGGAGGAGGAGGGAGGAGGAGCCCCACCCACCGAGGGCTTCCGAGCAGCTCTCCTTCTGTTCGCTCGCTGCCCGTCGCTGCTGACGCGTGCCGCTCGCCTTCCCGCTCGGGCCCCGCGCCGCGGGAGCCGCTGCGCCGAGGGGTGCCGCCGAGGGGCGCCTACAGGCGCGCCCTCCTCGGGGGCCTCGGCCGTCACCACTGTTTCGCCCCCTTGCCCCCTCACCCCCCCTCGCCCCCACTTCCCCTTTCCCCTACCCCTCCATTCCCCCTCCTATCCCCGATGCCCCTCCCCGTGACGGCGCTGCCCGCCCCCCCCCCCCTTGCCTTCTCTTCCTTCATCCCCTTCTGGGGGAGCCCCCCCTCCCCTCCCCACTGACGACCCAGGGCTCGGACAGCCTGGCGGCGCACGGCCCGTCGGAAAGAGCACAGGGCACACTGAGCGGAGCGCGACTTGCACGACCCCCTCTGTCAGCATCGCTTGACCGCTCCCTGTCCCCCCCGTCCCCATTCCCGCCCCGACGCCCACCATCCCGGCGCCCCGGTCGGGGACAGACCCTCCGAGCCCCAGAAGGAGACAGCTAACCAGCCTCGAACATATCCCTAGTTGGGCGAACAAAAAGCGAGGGCAGTCTCAGGGAGAGGCCCTCAGAAACTGAGGGACTCCTCAAGGTCGGCATCGAGGTGAGGTGATGGCAACCATAGGGATAGGGATATGTTTCAAACTGGTAAACAGCCCATATCCCCATCGAAGGGGGCATGTCGGCCCGTGGGGCCCAGGCCACGTCAGTGGGGATAGGCATCAGCCCACCGATGCTCACTTCGGGGTTGGACAGACCCCCTTTTAGAACAACGTGGTTTAGTGAAAACGACCTGAGGCCCAAACCTGGCGGGCGCAAGCCTGGAAAATAACGGCCACGGCGCCCTCTCGAGAACCGAAAACGGACAATTCTCTAATCGACGTGTCACTGTTGGGGGTTCTGTCCACCCCCGATCACTCCGGCAAGGGGCTCCCGGACAACAACTCAGAGTGACAGGGGGGCGTGCCTCGCCGACCAAAGCCCCACGGAAGCAGCGACGGCCCAGGGGCGACCCGGACAGCACTCCCCGGGGACATGCCTCAAGCCCTGGGCGCGGCGGTCTTTCGACTGGGGGCCAACCCGTGGAAAATCCCCGGAACCTCAGGGAGAGCCGACTGCAACCCGGGCAGCACAACGGAATTGAAGCATACACTCACACACGGTGTCAACCTGGCACATGAGCTCTTCTCCGACGTGGGTGGCGACCAACCAACAGACCGCGCCAGCCTGTCATCGGATGGCGCGACGGCCCTCCTGGGCACTACTCACCAAGGCCATGGAGCATGGCACCAGTCGAATGCTCCTTGCGCCAGATGCCCATTAAAAAAACCGAAGCATCGCATCAATGAAACGCTCATACTGTAAAGCATGATCGTCTGGCGTGGGCATGTCATAAGATTAGTGGCCAGTGACATAGCACTCCTGGGCCGAAATTCTCAAAAGCAACGCTCGCACCCGGGAATGCCAGACCGTCTTGCGCCGCCAGTGGGACGGCCCGCTGGGACAAAGAGCCTAGGCAGGCGTGTGACTAGGGGACGTCCGGCGAGAGCCCGGGCCAGCGCGGGGTCACACGCGCAGCTAAAATGCACACCGCACGAGCAACACCCGCCAGTTCACTTGCAAGCTCCATTCCTGTCGTGTTGGACGGATGTGTGTGAAGTGCCTGATTGGCGCCTGCTTCTGGACTGGCATTGCCTCCACGGAGGAATCTCTCGTGGAGAGAAATACCTGGCACGTCGACATCATGGTGAGCGTTTGACCTTCATCGCGACTTCGACAAGGCCCTCAAACCACATTGGACTGACGGACCATTGCAGCGTAAACCTTCCTGCCCGAGTAGCCCTCTGGAAGTAGGAAGTAGGAAGCAGGAAGGCGTTGGAGATAGATTAGGCTTCCGCCCGCCCCGGAAGAGGAGGGAAGAAGGAGACATGTCGATCCTTAAAGTAGGAAGGCGAAGTATATTAGGATCTGGGAGTCCAAAAATACCTGCTTTCAACGACTGGCGTGTAAGCTTTTAGAGGACGAGCAGCAAAGAGGTCAATGGAGAAGGAGGTGGACAACAGAAGGCTGACAAGGGGAGGGCAAGGGGCTGGAAGGGAAGCGGACGACGCTGATCACGTCCTCCTCTTCCTCCTCCTCCTCCTCCTCCTCCTCCTCCCCTTGCCTCATGTTGGGTTTCTTCCTCCTCGTCATCATCTGCATGCGAGGGCGACGCGTGGCTAGCCCGCACGTGGCCTAGCAGACCCACTGTCACGACGCCGAGCGTCCCGCCGACGATGCCGCCGATCATCTGCTGCTTCTGCTGATCCGACATCGCGTTGGTGCCCGCTGGCTCCACCTGCCACAAGCACCTCTCCTCCTGCCTCCATCCTCTCCCTCCTCCCTCCCCCCTATTCCCCCCTTCCCTCCGCCCTCTTCCCTCCTTCCTTTTCCCCTCCCTCCCCTCCCTCTCTGCCTCCCTCCCTCCCCCCCTCATCGTCGCCATCATCACTGTTTCAACTCCTGCCTACCTCCCTCGCTCGCAGGGGGGCTCACCCTCCGCATCCCACTGACGCAGCCTGTCATGAGAGCCCTCCAAGGAGGAGGGCGAGGGCGAGGGCGAGAAGGGAGGAGGAACACATGCCAAGAGATGAAGCCTCAAAACACCTCGCGGCTCTAACAGATGCCCATAAAAGCTGACAGGAACCGGGGTCAAGAGACGCATGGAAAAATAGAGGCACATCTGGGAGCAAGGGAGTTGCCTTGGAGGGCCTCGTCGGGCCCGCGCGGGTCGCCTCTTGGAGCCTTCTTGGGACTCTTTGGGTGGACCGTGGGGTCCTCTTGGGGCTCTTTCGGTGGGTTTGGGGGCCGTCTTGGGGCCCTTTTGGAGCCCACTTGGGGGCCCCTAGGGAGCCCTGGAGTGCCTCTTGGGGCCATCTTGGAGGCCACCGGTCAAAGGAGGGGTGGGCGGGGGCAATGTGCTCTTCATCCCTGGGGTCATCACACATGCCCTCTTGGGGCACATCTTTGGGGTTCGTGGGCAGCTCTTGGGCGCTTGTTGGGCCGTCTGGGAAGACTATTGGGCCCCTCTCGTGAATATCATGGGAAACGAAACTCTGACAAGGCACTCATCATTGATGTTCATTTGGTTTCTGACAAAATTGGGACTCTCGGAGGGTCCCGAAAAGGCACTCGAGTTGTTTGACCCATCTTGTGGCCCTCGTCGAGCCTCTTGGAGGTATGTCGAAAACTATCTTGAACCATCGCCGGCTATCTTGAGCCATCTGTGAGGCAGTGTTGGAGCATCGGAGGCCCTCTTCGAGCCATCTTGGGCGCCCTGACACTTCGCGGCACACCCACGACACCTCAGGAAGGGGGGGAGACAAACCTCCTGGAATGGAAGACGCTTCTTGAAGGGGGGCGAGAAACAACTCGCTAGACCACCTTAGCCCTCAACGGGCTGGTGGGACTACTCACCCACCCGCGGAATGATCACGCGAGCAAGACACTTGAACACGTGCGTCGCTACAAGGCGACAGCCACCGAATGTCTGAACACCACAAAATGGCGGTAATCCACAGCATAACGCTTTTCTGTGCATGTTCAGCTGCCTCGCACTCCCCCTGACGATGAAAGAATACATTATCTCTGGCGCCTACGTCCGCTGCGCCGTAGTAGGCCTTCATCTGAGCACATCAGGAGAGGAGCAGAGCATATGCGGCCGCGATTCGTCTTGAACGTGTACGCAACGAGAGGTCGAGGGTTCCTGGAAACAGCCCAACGTCGCAGACCTGCAACCTGTACATCTGCATGCGCGTAGATGTTGGTGCATCTGTCAGCGCCGACGTCGTGCGTCTGTGCAGGTCTGCGTGTCAACCCCTCGGCTGCTCCACAGCACGGGGAGGCCCTCGCTCGCCAACCCGCAGCCCAAAGGATGCGGGAAAAGGGGCCATGGGCAGCAGCGGGAGGCGGAGGAAGGGGCCCTGACACACACACACACACACACACACAGACACACACACACAGACACACACAGACACACACACACAAACACTCACACACACACACAGACACAAACAGCAGGATTCCCCCATCCACTCCCATTCGTTCTGGGCTGTTGCCTTGCCCCCACTTCCCATAATTTTCCCATATGTTCTGCGGAATCGGCGGTTCATTGTGCCTGTGTGTTTTTCCCCTCCTGGCTGATGCGGGAAAAGGGGCCATGGTCCAGCAGCTGGAGGAGGCGAAGGAGGCGGGCATAAGAGACACCCCCCATAGCGAGCGGTCCGGCGGCCCTGCCTGAGAAAAAAGCGGAGGAGAATTTCCAGCCTGGAACATATCCCTGTCCTTAGGTCGGGCCTGTCCCCCTACAGGGGGATTTTCGACGAACAATAAGAGATACCCCAAACATACTCCAAGAAGGTCAAACAATATGCAAAAAATAGTTCCCAGACTATTTTTGGACTATTTTGGGGGTATGTTTTATCTTTCGTCGAAAATCCCTGTAGGGGGACAGGCCCGATTTAAACCTATCCCTATGTTCGGCATCGCCTCCCCACGATGGCGATCTCAGGGATTCCCTCACTTTCTGAGGGTGCATCCCTGAGATTGTCATCGCCTTTGGGCGCGTCAATCCCAGGGATGGGCATGGGCTGGTGAGAGAAGAGAAGGCGGGCGAGAAAGACGAGGAGCAGAAGAGACGCATCCAGAAGTACCCACGAAGGGACGAGCGTCCAACAGAAACACAACGAGCTGGGACGGGGGCTAGTCCGAGGAGTCCCCGCGACGAGTAAAGAGAAGAATGGGAGAGAGGAGGACGGGGGGGGGAGTCCACCGGGCTCGTGGAGATCACGGGGCTCGCGGCGTCCACCTGTCAGGGAGGCGCAAAATCAAGAGAATAACCTGCAGAGGAGGCGGGACATGCGAAAGGCCACACGGGCCGCAAACCAGAAGCTCACCAGGACACTCTACCAAGCGATTTCCACCAGCGCTCCTCCTGCATGTGCTCCGTACCTTGAGACGGGCAAGACGAACAGCACACGCTGCTGGACGGATGAACAGCACATAATGTATATGACCTTTTTGAGACAGGAAGGCACATGTTAGCCAGCGCGGGCCCCAAACAATGAGGCCCACCAGCCTTTTGGGCTAAGGTGGTCTAGCGAATTGATTATTCCAAAACATTTCTCCTTCCGAAAAGTTTGCTTCCCCACCCCTCCCTCGGGTTTTTGGGGGGGCAGACCGCGAAGTGCCAGGGCGCCCAAGATGGCCCAAGATGGCTCGCAGAGGGCCTCCGATGCTCCAACCTTGCCTCACAGATGGCTCAAGATAGCCGGCGATGGTTCAAGATTGTGTTCGACATACCTCCAAGAAGCCCGCCGGGGGCCACAAGACGGTTCCAAATGCTCGCCAGCCCTTTCAAGACCTCCCAAGAGGCCAAATCCTTGAAACAACCGGCAGACAATAAATGAGGTGCGTCTTCTCGCCGTTTCGCTTCCGATGCGCTGATTTATTTTTTGATTTTTTCCACGGCTGGATACTGGAAATCTTGACCAAGAGCTTCGACTGGTGCGCCCTACAGATGCACAAATTGTCACACCCAGCTTCAGCCCACATCGCCACGCAGGCCGTACTGAAACCTCCTGCGCTGTGGTGGCCGCCGGCACAGTCCCACGCCCGTGGTGGCACGGGCTCCGAACACAAGCCGCTGCCGATTTGAGAACTTCCAACGGCGTTCGATCCTTTTTTTTGTTTGCCTTCCGATGCGCTGAGGAGGCCTCACGGGGGCCCCAAGCTGGCCCCAGGACAGCCCCGCGAGGGGCCCAAGGAGGCCCCCCCCCCGGACGGCCCCACGAGCGCCCCAGAGCGGCCCCACGAGCGCCCCACGAGGGCCCCAAGAGGGCCTGTCGATGGCCTCGGGGGCGGGGCCTCCAAAATGGCCCCAAAATCGATCGATAGCCTCCAAAATGGCCCCAAAATCGATCGATCAAAATGGCCTCGTTTTTGATGGATGGCCTCCAAAATGGCCCCAAGAGGCCCTCACGAGCTCCCAAGGGAACCCCGAGAGGGCTCCAGGAAGGCTTCAAGTGGGCCCCCGAGACCACCCAAACGAGCCCCAAGAGGACCACAAGGTCCCCCCGAAGGAGTCTCAAGAAAGCTCCAAAAAGGCGATGTTGAGGGCTCTGTCCTCGTCCTCGTCGTCCGAATAACAGAATAACAGAAGAAGACGAAGACAGTTAAACACAAATTTTTGGCATTCCGCACGGATTGCCTGGATCTGCGCCGGACCCCCCTCCCTGGCGCGCGGAGCGCGCCAGGGGCGGCACCCGAGGCGCTGCTGGGAGAGCCCAGCGCAGATCGAAGAAACCCGCACGGAGCGCCCAAAGTTTATGTTTACGGCGTTTTTTCTTCTTCGATGTCCTCCTTCTGGTCCTCGTCCGTGCCCTGTTCCTCCTCTTCCTCGTCGTGGTCGTCGTCGCTACCGTCGTCCACCTCCTCCTTCCTTCGTCCCCGCGGGGGCCCGACGAGGCCCTCCAAGGGAACCCCCTCTTGCGCCAAGAAATATTTCTGCTCACCCCAGTCGCCCGCTCTGTTCCACTACATGTGTCTCCTCGTCCTGTTTCCTGTCAACTTTCGTGGGCAAGGCTTCTTAATTGGCTGGAGTGTATCCGCGAAGTGTGAAGAAGACTTGCACATTGGAAGCGTAAGCTATGCCTATCAAGCGATGCCGTGTACGCTATTCGGTGTGAATTATGCGGGGGTGAGCTTTGGCGGAAAAAGATGTGGCGCAAGCTACGAGGTGCAAGGTATGCTGTGTGAGATGGATGGTGTAAGCTGGGGGTGGAATGTGAGCAGTGCAGACTACGTGGTGCAAAGTGCGCTGGGACAAGGCATGCGGTGCGAGCCTACCGGTGCACGCGATGTCGTCCAAGCTACGTGGTGTGAGCTATAGCGGATTTCTGGACGAGAAATAAATCCAACACCAAACCAGCTCAATAATTATTCAAAAAACTAGTTAGAACAAAAAAGTGTCCGACGATTTACGACTTATGTTTGAACTCTCCCCCTGTAGAGGGACACGCCCACCCTCCCCCTCAGAAATCGTGGGGGGTGGGGGTAGGGTTCGCATGCGGCCCCCTCGCCGAGCCGCTCCCAGTTTCTGCGCCGGCGGCTGGGCAGAGGGCGACTGCTCCGGCGGGCTGGCAAGAGGGGACACGCTGTGCGCAAAGCAAGGCCGCAGTGCCCGGAGACCCGGAGGAGGAGGAGGAGGAGGAGGAGGAGGAGGAGGACGAGCCATGGCGCGACAGGAACAGAGGAAGCCGGGCCACTCAGAGAACCCTCCTAGAAAGGGGCATGCCCGACTTAACCCTACGCGGCGGCTTGCGCGGGCCGCCCGCGCGGCACGCCACACTTGGAGAAGAAGGCGCTCACGCGCGACCTTACGCGGGCAGCTACCGCGCCAATGTTGGCGCAAACGACACAGTTTTTTTGCGTCGCTAACGTGGAGTATCCTCGGCCGACCCGTCCAGTTACCGAAGTAGCGCGGGCAAGAACCCCTCAACTGCAAAGATTGTTGGGGGTGGTCAACGCGGATGGTCCGGCAGATGTGCGAGCAACAGGTGAACAGGGACAGTCGTAGAAGCTAAAGTGACGACAGTGGCCATGCACGGTGCACAACTCAACGAACATATCGCACTAGCCCGAACCACTAACGATGAAACTGGCACAACATGCCGTCCGTATGCCAATGCTGGGCAACCACGAGGCAAAACAAAAAAATGATACACAATTCAACGTCTCCCAAGTATCACACCGGTGTGACTGGCCTTCCGCCCAAAGCCCTGACTTCAGGAGTCCTTCGGTTTACACTTGCATGAATTACTTCGGAGATGCAGCGTCAACGGAGTATGTTGCAAACTGTCATGCACGTCAACAGGACTGTGAACACTAAGCACGGAGTCGTGACTTTGGCATTGACACTGGGTCGCCTCGGCCATCATGGATCTTCTGAGCTCGTCAGTGTATTCTTCCTCTGCGGCAGCATCCGACTCTTCATCTCTAGATGTCGCTGGAGCCGTACTGCTTGTCGTTGCCAGCGTCTCAGTCGTCACAGACGTAGGCGCCGATGGCGACAGTGGTGTCACGTCTGCCTCGTGGCCCCCTTTTACCCATGCGCATGTACTCTGCGGCCCGCCGCCCACTCTTACAGATGATTCGGAGATTCGATACATCCTCAATTCCTTCCCCACCAGTGCCGGACTCGGGGACGGACCTCCAAAACACCTCCACCATTCTCCCTCCCCAAACCAACCATGTACATCAGGATGATGCTCGGTGGTATGCGATACCTGCTTCCGCGCTGGACAACACAATTGCTCGGCATGCGCGCTCCCTGGCTTCTTTGCGCGACGTCTCTGAGGGACAGCCCAAAGAAAACCCTGCGATTTGTTTTTCCCCGGGAGCCCGACTCCGAAGAGGTGCGCGCACAGCAGCACCAATCTGGTGCACGAGTGGCGCGGCTAAAATCAAGTCGGGCATGTCATCCTAGATGCGGACTTCTAACGACAAGTAAGAATCTCCCAAACAAAGATATTCAAGCATAGTCCAAAAGTGCTGAAAACATCGCCCCAAAACCATTTTTTGACTATTGTGGAGTCTTCCTCCTGTAGAGGGACAGGCCTGACTTAAGGCGGTCACCCCGTTCTCCGCATCTTGTTTCTCCGCCTCCTCCTCCTCCTCCTCCTCCTCCTCCTCTCCTCCTCCTCCTCGTCCTCCTCCTCCTCCTCCTCCTCCTCCTCCTCCAGTCCTGCGCCAGAGCCCGCACCCGGAGGCCAGGACGCCGCTCTGCAGACCCAGAAGGACAAGGCTCACAGGAGCTACTGGGCGCAGACGCGCTCGGCAGGACAGCGAGGACCCCCCCCACACCCCGCAGTGCGCCAGCGAGGGGCGGCAGAGGCAGGGAAGACCACGAAGGACGTACGCGCCCGACCACGCGCATGAACGCGGCCCCCCCATCCGCCAGACCGTCCGCGTGATACGAACGTTCGCGCACTGCGTGCTCTCGAGGCCATCATGGACTCTGGGGAGACCTTTTCAGGCACCGATACCGCTACTCCCTGGACCTCTCCCGGGGTGCTTCCTGACCAGAATTTCGAGTCGAATCCAGCGGAGGCGACGAGGGTCTCCGAGGAGGCCCAAAAAGGGGAACACCAGTGGAGGGTAGCGGTATGGGTACCTCTTTTTCCTCTGAGACTCGTGTGCGTGTACGTCCTCATCGCGCTGCCCGAGCAGGGGGGGGGAAAGACCGCCGCTCGCGCTCGCAAGCAGCACTCCAAGGTTCAGTCGGGCGTGTCCCCCTACAGGGGGATTTTCGACGACTAATAAAACATACTCTGAAAATATTCCCGAATGATCAGAAATAGTCAGGTCCCCAGGCTATTTTTTATTATTTTTGCACATTCCCCCTGTAAGAGAGACAGGCCCGACTTCACTCCGAGGCCTCCGACCGAGGGAGCGGGCGGCCGCCCCCCCTCCGTGCAGCGGCCGACGCGTCGGGTGTGAACCTCGGGAGCACGCCGCTCCGGGCCTCTCTCTGGCCTGCGGCGCAGCTCTGTGCTCCGCCGCCTCCTGCAGCGGCCCTTCCCCCGCGGCGTCCCTGCCTCGAGCCGTGTGCTCAGCGGCTCGCCCACAGTCGGGCTGCCGAAGCAGGGAACAATTAAAGAAGGAACGGGGCCCCTTTTTGGTCCCAAAGGCGTCGGCGTGCACGAGGAAGGCTGGAGGAAAGGCCATGGAAGGACCTAAGGAACATCGAGCCCCTTTCTTAACCAGACCGTTCCTTATTTCAGCGTCTTGGCTGTACGGGCCGACCAAACACACACACACACAAACACACACACACATACTTCTTGTCCGCTGGCGGCGAGGCAGAGGCGGTCCGCTCCAGCGTGCGGCATGTGCGGGGCAACCGGATGGCCAGTCGGCCGGCGTGCAGGGAGGAAGGACAAATAGGGGGCCACATGCGAACCCTACCCCTACCCCCCACGATTTCTGAGGGGGAGGGTGGAGCTCCCGAACGAAGTGAACCCCACCCTCCCCCTCAGAAATCGTGGGGGGTAGGGGTAGGGTTCGCATGTGGCCCCCTAACAAAGACGAGGGCGGCCGCGCGGGGGGGAGGGGGGGAGGAGGAGCACCCAGACGTGGAAGGGTTCCGCGTCGAGCGGGGCCGGGGCGGCAGCCCGCGCTGACCAAGCACACGCAAGGGAACACTCCACGGCAGCCCCTGGATCTCATCAGAGGGCCCCCGCGCGACCTCTCCAGGGCTGCAGTCGTCGTGACGCCACCACCGAGAAAAAAGAGCGAGCGGACTGTTCCTCCAGAGCCACGGCCGGCCTCGTCCACGAAGAGGTTCCCCGAGACACATCTAAAGACGGCTTGCCAACCAGACCCCCGCCTCGGCCCGAAAGAGTCCTGGCATCAACGTCTGGCTGTACAGTCGGCCCGTGCCATGAGGATGCGCGATGGGGATGCGAGGGCCTTGGACGCCCATTCCGAGGTTTCTCGAGCGGGACGCGGCCAACGAAAGTGGCCAAGGATGCACCGAGGAGGCAAGGATGCAAGGGTACCCCTGGGAAGGTTGCCCATCCTTACTATGCGGTCTGACTCTAGGTCTCCAAGATTTCCACGTGATTTCCGAGGCTCGGCCTGACAACCAGTGGCTGGCCCACAAGGGTTCCAAGATCCAAGGCGATGCTGCCAACTCCACCATGTGGCTGCGAGGTCCGATGTAGCCTCCCTGAGAAGCAGCACGTGCGCAGTATCTCCTGATGTGCTGGCGTCTGGCTACACCATTGCCCCAGAAGGGTCCCGAGGCGGCCCAGAACGAACAACAAGCAGGTCAAGCATTCCTCAAAACCTCCGCGGGGGCCGCCTCGTGGGCCTCGTGAAACGCTGGCGCGGCCACGTGCCTGCGGGCAGCCTCGGGCAAAAGAAGCGAGAGCGGAGCTGGCGCGGGACGAACACGCCCCCCCCGCGCCTGCGCCGGCCCGGCCCGCATGCCGCAGGGGCAGAAGCGGCGCGCTGCGGGCCAGAGCTGTTGCAGACGGCGCCGACGGCGGCGGCGCAGCCCGAGCAGCGGCGGCAGCGTGCGGCAAGGGCACCGTGCGCGGCACGTGGCGGCTGAGCAGGGTGAGACACGGCGGAGCCCTCAGTCTGCATGCTGGGTCAGCGCTGGAACCCCTGCAATTGAATAGAATGGCATCCAGGACGTGAAAGGGTGAATGGGGAGCATGGCACGAGGAATACGAGAGAGAGAGAGAGACAGGGAGATAGCGAGATATGAGGAGGGTGAAGGATGAAGCATGGAGGGAAGAGAAGAAAACGTGAGCCCCAGACCGCAAGTACAAGACACAATAATATTCGTTTCGGCCAGGAACGGGTGACATGCGCACCTTATGGACGCCTTTTCTGGTAAGGTCTGCTGTGAACCCCAAATCGATGACCACCTCTGCCATGCAGGAAAGGGGTCATGGTGGAAGCGGGTCCCGGACCCTGAAGCCTTCTCCCGCACCAGCTCGTCATCCAGGGCAGCTGTCTGAAGGCCCCTGGCTCCAAGAACGGCCCCGGCAACAACTCCAGGCCACCTCTCCTCCAGGACTATGATTCTCCATTGCTCCGATTGGCCTGGGCACGTAACGTCCCACGAATCCCTCGCGCCAAATCCCTCCTCGGCGTGCCCCAAATCACCCGCAGACCGCATCAGGCTTCGGGTCCCCGCCACCCGCCTGCCCCCAAGCGTCGAACAGTCAGACCGCGCCCCGACACTTGCAGCATATTCACATCGTGATGACTTGGGGGTTGCTTTCTGACACCTCGTGGATTGATTCACCTTGAACGATCGCCGTATTCGTCATCGTCGCCGCCATTCCCCAGGAATTTCGAAACGAACAGAGAAAATACACGTCGTAGTTAAGTCGATTTCCTCCCTGACGGGAGGGTAAGGGGTGGGGTACAGTGGGGGTACGCAGGGGGGTGGTAGGAGGAGGGGGGGTCCGGGTCAGATTACCACCCCTCCCCCCGTGGGGGGGTCCTGGTGGCCCCCCCTTCCTTGGTGGTCCCGGGTCAAAAAAATGCCACCCGCGGGGGGGGGCGGCAGCGGGGGTCCCCGGGAAGGTCCCGCCGTCAGGGTCGGCGGCACAAGCCTTATGTCGGGCGTGTCCCCCTACAGGGGGATTTTCTACAGGAAAAAAATACACCAAAAATATTGCAAAAAGGTCAAAATGATATATATATATATATATATATGTATATATATATATATATATAAAATCTGGGGACTATGTTTTGAACATGTTGTAGCTATTTTGGAATCTTTTATATTTTTCAACGAAAATCCCCCTGTAGGGGGACATGCCCGACTTAACACAAGCCGCAACGCCTTCACAATACAATTAAGAATGCCAAAAGGATCGATCCCCCCCGCGGGACGCCCCCAGCAGGATCTGTGCCGTCGGACCCCCCCCAAGCGGCAAACAGGGGCGAGTGGACGGGCTAGAGGGGCCAGCGGGCGACCTGGCAGAGGAGAAGAGAACGTGCGGAGGGCATGGCAGCCGACGCGCCGCTCGCGCAAGACCCCTCGACGCGGAAGAGGGGCTGGAGGAGGGGAGATGGGAGGGAGTGGCGGGGCAGAGGGGGCGGGAGAGGAACTGGCACACGGGAAGGGGGAGCAAGGGAATGGGAGGAACAGGTAGAGGGGGCGGGATGCTGGAGGAAATGGGATAGCAGGCCCAGATATCCGACGAATCTTTCATTTCGAGACGCTGGACCCCGGAGCTCGCGACCGTTCCTGGGCCCAGCTTTTCCTCCCGAGTCGCGATGTTGCGGTCCCATGGTCTGGAAACGGTCTCCAGGCACGGTATGTGGTGATGCCTTTCGTTGCCTGCGTGCGCGCGGAAAACGAACACACATATGTCGCGATGCTTGCGAGCCGTTGGAACTCTGTGGAGGTGGGGTGGGGAGTAAACGAAACGAAACGAGCATCCTGTGCTGGCGGGGACGGAGGCGCAGTGCGCCGTCGCCGCGAGCACCGGGCAGCCCCGCCAGCCGCACTGGCCGCCGTCGTAGCTCGGATCGAAGCCTCGGGGAGGCCACGGCCGAGTTCCCGGACCTCCAGCGGAGGTTTCTCCCACCCTGGCGATCTCCCAATCCGCCACAGGGTGCGAGCATTTACGTCGTGTTCCGTTGGGCCTCTGGCCATACGTCCTCCGCAAGGCGGAGAAGAATCGGACGCGTGGGCAGGAGCGCCCTCAGTAGGTGCCGGCGGAATTCCTTCACATCGCTGCGCTATCATGCAGAGTCTCCAGAGTATCCTGGCGATTTCCCCAACATTTCGGCCTCATGGGGGGGAGTGGGGGGGGGGCGTGCTCGAGCTCAGGGGCCATTACTAGTCACCAGTCGAGCCCAGGGCGGAAAAAACTCGCCCTGGGAGAAGGGGTCGAGGCCTCTGGGGTCCAGCGGCCTGGGCAGCGCGCTCCGGCCGCTGGGCCTGAGCAGAGCTCGAAGTGATGAGTCAAGACGTCCAGGGCCTCTCCCTCGTCCTCCTCGTCCTCCTCGTCCTCCTCCTCCTCCTCCTCGTTCTCCTCCCCCCTCCCCTCCCCACTCGTCCTCCTCCTCCTCCTCCTCCTCCTCCTCCTCCTCCTCCTCCTCCTCCTCCTCCTCCTCCTCCCTCCCCCTCATCCTCTCCTCCCTCCCTCTCGTCCTTCTCCTCGTCCTCCCGCAGCTCCTCCTCCTCCTCCTCCTCCTCCTCCTCCTCCTCCTCCTCCTCCTCCTCCTCCTCCTCCTCCTCCTCCTCCTCCTCCTCCCCTTCTGCCAATGACCGTGCGGCTCTGGCTGTCGCAGCGCTGGCCGGCCGGGCCGCGCGCAGAGGCTTCGATGGGCCCCGGGGCACCGCAGCGACGTCCAGGGCCACCAGCCAGGGAGGCGTCTCATTATCGTTTCCCCGATCCCCATCCCCATCCCCTTCGAGACCCCCACCAAACTACCACCCCAGTTGGGGATACAATTCTCGAAACCCGAAGGGAACGACCTGTATCCCCATCTAGGGGGGTACATCGGCCAGAGGGGCCCAGGCCACGCCGCTGGGGATGGGGACCGGTTAAACGATAGTCAGCTTCTGGGGACGGGAGCGGGAAAAGATGTAGTCAACACTGACAGCAAGGAGGCGCGAAAAGGATGCAAGTCCCTTGGACGCCCGTGCCAAAGCGCCACGAGCGGGGCGGGCCGTCTAAAGTGGTTGGGGACGGACCGAAGATGACCGAAAAGTCGAGGCAAGGATGCAAGGGTACCCATGAGAAGTCGATCATCCTTACTGTCATGTTTGACTGTGGCGCAGGAACACACGGCCGCGCTGCATGTTCAAGACAACTGCGCAGAACCGAGAGGTAACTTCGCCGATGGGGGGACGAACCAATCGCTGGGAGCGAACACGGCAACGGTGACCTTAACAAGGGGCTGTGAAGCGGGTGTGCAAGATTCACGCGTTCAGTCGGTGGGCTCTCCAGAGGATGGGTCAATGCTCTCTTAAATGCGGTGGTGCCCTTTGGTCGAGTCCAACACGCTTCCAGGACCGCCGAATTCATAGTGGAATGCATCCAAACCTGCTGCACAACGCGAGCAGACACCCGTCCAATTGTCCGCTCATAAATTGGACAGGGAGGCAACATCGGAAAACGAAGTCGCTGCCCACTGCATCTCTCGCGAGCTTGCTGCTTCTGACACGATGCTGGTGGGGATACTGTTTTGAAAGTGTATTACAAAATGCCAAGCCTCCGATGCGGGACACGCGTGGCTTTGACTGCACGAGGCTCCGCGAGGAATCTGATCGCGAGTAGCAGCTCGATCAGCACGACAGCGGAAGGCGACCGCTTCGAACCAGGACCACACACATGAGCTGTTGCGAGGCGGGGGTTCATATCCATGGTCGCCGCCTGGGCGCGTGATCCCTGTCTCGTCGCGCGTGTGGCGTCTCCTGCCCGCGGGCTGACGCGCCTGGCGCTGCTCGCACGCTCGCCAATTGCATTGCCCACGCGCGTTTTGCACTCGTGGCTGCTTCGACTTCGTCGACCGCCTGGGGCCTGGGGAGTCGATCGCCGAGGACCCCGACAGCTGGTGGATGTATGGATGGATTCCCTCTCCCCCCCGGGAACCAACGATGTCCGAGCCCACCGACTGCCGAGGCCCACGCAGATCCATGCCCCAGGCTTAGGTCGGGCGTGTCCTCCTGGAGGGGGATGTCGGAGGGAAAAAACAGAAACAATCCGAGCAAGAAAAACTCGCAAACTCTGCACCTAACTATCTTTTTGTTACTGCTCGTGAGTATCCCCCCTGTAGAGGGACATGCCCGAGGTCACCCCAGGCGGGTGGTGGAGACATCCCCGCCTCGGGATCATTCCCTGGCTCTCTGCCACTTGCTGCTCGCCCCGCGCTGAGGCCGACGCAGGCGCCGCCCTCGGCAACGCTGCTGCAGATGCCGTCCGCTGGGCCCACCGTGATCCTGCGCACGTGTGGAGCCGAGGGCCCCCCCCCAACCCCAGCGCCCATCGCCGACCGCCCCTGCCCGTCGCCTGCTCTCCCCCGCCTCGAGGAGATGCGAGGGAGGGAGGAGGCGCAGGCCGTCGTTGGTGCCCCCCCCGCTGGGCTCCTGGCAGATGTTGTCCCCCGCGGCGAGGCAGCAAGCAGCCCGCACCAGCGCGAGGCCCGTCGGGGCAACCGGAAGGCGAAGTGTCCGGCGTGCAAGTGGGAAGGGAAGAAGAATTTCGCCAGAGAACAAACCCAAGGATTTGAGGGTTAGAAATGGGATCGATCAAGAGATCGATAAAGAGGTCGACCAGGAACCCAGAACCCGGAACCCATCGAAATCGGCCCGGATCCAATGGCCAGGAACCCGGGAACCCGGAACCCGGGAATCCAGCCGGCCACCAACATCTGCGAAGAAGACTGAGTTACATATGCCCGTGACGTAATGGAGACCAAACGAGGTGAGAACATGACAGGCTCCAGGAGTCGTGTGTACTCTCTGCCAATCTACTTTCGAAGACAGCGTGATCAATCTCCATGTGGTCTCTATCTCCCTCTCTTTCTCTCTCTCTCTCTCTCTCTCTCCCTCTCTGTCTTTGTTGTTTCTCTCTATGTCTCTCTATCTCTCTATCTCTCTCTCTCTCTCTCTTTGTTCTCTCTCTCTCTCTCTCTACCCATCTACTGCGGACTGGCTGGTTGAAATGGTAAAGGCCACAAGGCTCAAATTTACGGGCACCGCCAATCTTTGCTTGTGCACTGCGGCCCCCCTCCCCAGAATCCGCTGCTGACCCTTCTGCTCGCCTGGCATCCCTGCCACTTGCACTCCCCTTCGTTCCCAGAGCGTCACGCCAGAACTCATGTTGAGCCAGGTAAGGCGGTAGACTTGAAACGACGAGGGACAGGGTGGGAGAACCTATTTGCAGGGCGTCGGGATATATACATACCAACATGCACACCCTTCGAGTGATGGGGAGGTTCGGGGGGGAGGAGAAAACGTCTCACCATCGATCCCACGATCGATATCACAATCAATCTTACTTTTCGATTTCTCTATCGATCTCACCATCGATCTCACAAACGGTCACTATCGATCTCACTCGATCGATCACACTCGCTTGATCTCAATATCGACCTGATGTTGCTGTTACTATCGACGTTGCGATCGATCTCACCATACATTGCAAGGACGATCTAACTATCGATATGACTTCCCACCTCACGATCGGCCTCAGTCTCGATCTCACTATCGATCTCACGATCCACCTGACTATCGGTCTCCCTATCAATCCAATTATCTTTCTCACTACGGGACGGGACTCCGACGGGACACCGTCGGGTCACCGAGCGGACAGCGACGCGCCACCAGCGAGAGGACAACGACGGGACAGCGCCGGAGCACCGACGGGACGCCGGCGAGACATCGCGGCGGGACACCCCCCTGGCCACCGCCGCCTAACCCGAGGGGGGGGGCACACGAGTGGCCCGGCGGCGACAATAGCCAGAGGAGGGTGCCTGCCCCTCGCCCGCCCACGCAGCTTCGCCTCGCCCGCACGAGCGACACGAGCACGAAGCCGAGACGCATGTCCAGGTGAGCGACCGAACACGAAGCCGAGACGCACGAGCGACATGAACACGAAGCCGGAGCCCTCCGTTTCCATGCGATCTTCCCCCACTCGCCCGCGATGCCCTGCAGGGCCCATGCTGGCACTTGGGGCGGTGCCTTCGCCTTCCTGGCTTCACCAGGGAGGCGAATACACCGCCGATGGACCCATGCTGGGCCTGGCCTGCGGCAGCATTCATTTCGCTGCCCGAGTTTGGCCGCACTTGGCGATGGAGATGGTCTTTACATGGGGCACAGGGATTCTGAAGGACCATGGTCCTGGACCCCAAGGCCTTCCGACGGGCAAACCCTTCATCCTGAATCGTTTTCGGACGGTCCGGGGGCGCGAAAGGTCCAGAGCCCAACAGGACGGCCGAGCGCACAAGCTGGGCGGTCCAGATCCCATACGGTAGCAAAACACTAACGGTCCAGATCACAACCACTCTTATATGAGCTTCCAAGAGCTTGAAGCGCCTGGAGCCTGGAAGGCGCTTGATAGGCCCTTCACAAGCGTTTCCTTGAAGGCGCCTCCTCGGCTTCTTGCAAACTTCCCGTAAGACTTCCTGCGGGATTCTGGAAGAACCCAGAAGGTGTCCTGAGGATTCCTCTAACGGTCCAAATGGATTCCTGTGGGATTCCTGAGGGCTCCCTGAGGATTCCGGAAGAAACCGTAGTATTCGACTCCAGAAAGATCCGTGAAGACTCAGGATGGGTTCTTCAAGATTGTTGAAAGATGCCTGAGATTTGTGCGGGATTCCGGAAGATTCTGGAAGATTCTGCAGAATTACTGAGGATGCTTTCGGGATGCCTGAAACAACTGCACCGGCGTCTCATGGATTCCTCAGGATTGCTGCGGGATTCCGGAGAATTCTTTGTGGATGTCCCAGCGATGTCTGAATGCTCCTAACTGGTTCTGGACGATTCCTCTGGTAATGTTACCAAAAAATCTACAAATATCCCAAGAAGAATTCCTGAAGAGTCCTGAAGGGTTCCTGAAAGGTTTCTGAGGGATTCCTTTCAAGTTTCCTGACGGATTCCTGAAACAAATCAACGGGTTCCTGAAGAATCTGGAGGGTCCCCGCGGAATGCCAGAAAGATTCCTCAGGATTCCCCTCTGGATTCCTGAATCATTACTTTGGCTCCTAAACAAGTCCTATAATATTTGTGAAGATTCCTGAAGGCGTGTGCCGTCACAAGCGTGCAATAGACGTTGCGTATACGTCGCGTGTCAGTTGGGCATACGCTTCGCATGCGTTCCTAAAGCGTCCCACATACGTTGTGATTGCCTTTTCTGGACAATGTCGGAAGCGCGCTGCATTAATGAAGGATGCGTTTGATGAGGGATCGTATGCTCTCCGTTTACGTTCGTATACGCTACCGCCTTGGAGTGTATTAAGCCTAGGAGGCCCATTTAAAGAACTTCGAACTCGCAAGCAGTAGCGAAGAGTAACGGTCTATATCGCAAGTGCGCACCATGAAAACCGAGTGGGTTTCCTTAAGGGACACCGTTCGGATTTCACTGCCAAGACAAGAATGGGTGGAGTCTGACACCATCGCGTCCCAGGGCCCGTGGAGGGCCCCGAGAAGGCCAAAACGGCGAAAATCCTCAGGACACGTTTCCCACAAAACTCTCTCCCCCCACGGCGAACAACCTTCCCCCAATACCCCTCTGCCAGGGTACCCCTCTGCCAGGGTTAGGGCGAGCATGTCCCCCACTGCAGAATGTTTATTTGTTTGTGTATGTATTAAAGTGTATGTATATACACATATAAATCCGCCTGTAGGGGGGCATGCCCGAGCTAACCGTGGCAGAGGGGTGCTGGGGGAAGGCTGCTCGACGCGGGGGGAAAGGGCCGCCAACCACGGGCTGCGGCCGCCGCCTCGGCGGGCCGAGAAGGGCCTCTGGACGCTCGAGCCCCCCCCGCCGCGAGCGAGACGCGCCCGCTGGGGCGGGACAGCTCGGGGAAACCAGGAGGCACCGACACAGCTACTCCCTGGGCCTCTCCCGGGGTGCGCTCTGACCAGGATTTCGAGGCGAATCCAGCGGTGGCGACGAGGGCCTCCCCGGAGGCCCAACGAGGGGGGAAAACGAGGAAGGGGCTCGAGGCGCGGGTACTTTGTCCTCCTCTGGCAGCTGGCCCCCACCCGCTCACTCGAGCCACCCTGGCAGTCTCTCGTCGTGAAGAGCAAAGGCTGGTTTGTCTGGCACCGCTGGCGGTCGCGAGCGCGTCTGCGGTGCCGGGGGGGCCTCGCCCCCGGAACGAGGGGCACGCAATGGTGGAGGAACGGCGGCCGCGGCAGAGGATGACGCAGGAGGTCTTCACCGTTCAGGAGCCCGCGGGCCCATTCCTTTGCACAGTCGGATCCATACTTGCAGCACGTGGCATATCAGTCAAGATCCGCAGAGTGTGCAGCGAGGGAGTTTATTGACCGTTCTGGCCCGAGAACGGCCACAACATGACCCTTTTCATCCGACGATGTGTGCTGTTCTGGCGCGATGCTTCTCTACTGCTGAGGACCTACAGAGCATGTTCAGCATCATGTCGGGCATCCAAATTTTGTCAAATTGATAAGCGATGTTCCGTTGCAGACGTGCTTGCGCCCGAAACGTTTAGCGTCATCCCTAGAGCACGTACCATATTATGACGAAGAGCTTCTGAGTTCAAGTGCGTAGAAGACGCCATATGCGTCCGTACGAATGCTTCAAACTCATTCCATATATGATAAGGTGCTGGCGATCCGAAGTTGACGGGAGCGTCACAGAAACCTGTTAACACATTCATGCATTGCCCGAATGCCTGCTGTTGGGCCACGTTCATCCTCATCACCTCCACGGGAACCGAAAAACATATGCATGATGTTAGCGCAAAGCTGGTCGATGGTGTCCGTGCCCAGAATGATTATGGTAACATATGCGATATGAATATGATCGCATTTCTGATGTTGACAGGCATGCAGGGCACCTGACCAAGAATTGCACTCGCAAGCCGCAACTTGGAATCAACAATTTCCTGTGGAGCTTGCAAGCGAGTCGTAAATCCACATTTATGCGATGGCTCGGGTGTGCGCTGCAGCTGGTGTTGCGTTCCATGCTTAACCGTCGTGCCCACTGCTCCTAGGCCTGCAATGACATTGTCAACCCGATCCTATAAGTCGACCCTCCCCCTTCCCCCTTCTTAGGCCCAAAGGCTCCCCAATCCCACAATTACTCATGCACTTCTCCAACCCACTACTTCATAAGCAAGGTCTTGGCCCATGCCCATACCTTTCCGCGCCCGCCCGCCACGTCTACCATCTTGTCTCCTGGTACCTTTCATTTCCCCCTTCCCCCCATTATTCCTTTCGCCCGGGCGAATGCCATGACAAGCCCGATGAGCAGCAAACAAACGCTGACGATTATCAATTAGGTTGCTCAATGACTGGAGCCACTTTCAATGACGACCGGCCTGCGCCGGCTCAGCGAGAAGAGAGAGAAAACAACAAGACTACAACGAGCGAAGGCGGAGTCGATCCAAAACTCGTGAGATGGCGGTACAAAGTGCGATCGCTTCGAACTGGAACGGAGAGTGTGCAACGTCCATGTACACAGATTCCAAGCCTGCGAGGTGCAACGTTGGCCCGGCCACCGCGTGCATGGTCAACGCAGCAGAGCCGTGACCGTCGCGGTAACCGCCGTCACTGGTGACCACCACATGTTCCATAAACGCGACATGTCACCCCGCCATTGCCATCCCCAATGTGTCCTCTCCTCTTCGCTTCCCCACGCCCCATCCTTCCTCATATCATCCGATCCCCCGTCGTCTCCTCTCCAGAATCCTGTCGAAGTCGTCCCGGGTGATGTTGAAGCTCTCCCCGTGGCAACCAACCTGGCTTACCGAGACTGGAATCGACGCCGTGGGCACCCGATTCCATGATTCCCGAGGAGCGCCCAGCCATCACAGCCGAACGAACGAAGTCATCATCGAAAAACGAGAATGACATGGTTGATCCTGCCATGCCTGGCTACATTCAACTTGACAAGAGCAGGCACACCGAACTCTATTGACCTGGGCATGCACGGGCACGGAAAATAACGCTGCAAACGCTCGAGAACCTAAACAAAACCTCCTCGAGAGGCTTCCGGGAGGCCTGCGATACACCCCGAGACACCCCAAACAGGCATCTAAGAGGCCTCTGGCCCTCAAGCCAGGCTCGGTGGCAGACTGGGTGCGCTCAGGGATATGCTCGCCTGGCCACGCCTGGAAGCGTGCAGGGGGCACAACACACTGGCCACCCTCATTACGCCAACCAAGACTTGCCTCGCACCCCCCCTCCGCTGCTTTCGTAGCCGCCGACGCTGATGCCACAGCCACTGTCACATAGGTCAAGAGATAGATACCCCTTCGCCAAAGACCCACAGCCCCATGGAGATGACTGAAGCGAAACTCACTCTGAGGTGCAGGGCCCACACACGGTGAACATGAACATGCTCCCCTTAAACATACGGCTCTGCTTAACCCTCGTGCCAACCGCAATGGACGTCCCTGTGCACGAAACGGAACCTACACGGGAGGGGAAGAGAACAATGACCAAGACTGAGCTCGGAAACGCCGTGACTGCCTTGGCCTCCATCCATCTTGGTCACTCGTCAATTCGTGGATCGCCCTCTCGAACTGGTGGCGGCCGGAATGGACCATGACCAGCAACGGCGTCGGCAAAATCAAGCGACGTCTTGGTCATGGTCACCGTGTGTCTTCTCTCGGCACCATTTCCTCCTCCTCCTCCTCCCCTCCTCCTCCTCCTCCTCCGCCTCCTCCTCCTCCTCCTCCTCCTCCTCCTCCTCCTCCTCTTCCTCCTCCTCCTCCTCCTCCTCCTCCTCCTCCTCCTCTCTCCTCCTCCTCCTCCTCATTCACTCCTCCTCCTCCTCCTCCTCCCTCCTCCTCCTCCTCATTCACTCCTCTTCCTCCTCCTCCTCCTCCCTCCTCCTCCTCCTCAGGCTCCTCCTGGCAACAATCCCCGCGAGGACACTTGGGCGCGCAGGCGAGGCCCTCCGACGCTCCCGAAGCCGGGGTGCTCCGCGCACGCCTCGGTGCAGCTCGCCCCGAGGCCTCCGAGCACCCACTCCACCTCCAGCGGCGAAGCGGCGCGGCAGGTACAGGCAGGGGAACGAAGCCCGACATGAACATAAAAACTTGGAGGTCCGCGCGGATTTCTCGGATCCGCGCTGGGGCCCCCTTGCGGCGCCTCCGGCGCCACCCCTGGCGCGCTCCACGCGCCAGGGAGGGGGGGGGGGGTCCAACGCCGATGCGAGAAATAAATCCGCGCGGACCCCCGGGTTTCTATGTTTATGTCATTCTTCGTTCCCCTACAACCGGAGAAAAGGAGAGAGGAGCGTCTGACATGCTCGCTCTAGGGACCTCTCCGCAGCTACTCGCTCCAATCAGTGCGTGAATGCTGCGTCGACGCACGCGTCGAGCGGGCGGCTCCAGACACGCGAGCTTGCATCGAAGTTGAATCGACCTTGAGTCGGCCCAACCGAATCAGATCCAAACCAGAGTCGCACAGATCCGTGAGGTCCCCCCCTGGGAAAGTCGCCTCAAAACGAACATCGAATGCGACTAGGGGGGGAAAGGGGGGGGGGGGGGGGGAAAGCCGAGCACGGGACAGACGAACAACCTTCAGGAACACGAGACCCTCCGCCAGGCAACCTGCCGACCATATTCGAGGTTATTACCCCCTCCCCCGGGATCCGCTCTCGATCTTATCTACCCCGGTCCGAACGTGTGGCATTGGGGTACCCTCCCCAAAGCGCCCTCGACCTTGTACCTCGGTCCGACCGCACGGGCGTTGGCAGATGGGGCGCACAGACGCATACTAGTACTAGATGTCCTCCTTGGATAGGAGGCCACATGCGAACCGTCGCCCCCCCGGGGGGGGAGGGGGGCGACGCACGCGCATAGCGTCAGTAAGTTGCGGTGGCGCCGCGCAGAGTGACCGAGAGGAAACCGACGGCGCATGCAACTTTGTATTTCCCCTCGAGGGACTCTCGGTCCGTTTACTTCGTGCGCTCCCTTTGGATGGCGACGCTGTCCCCCCCGAGACTCCCAGCGCGCCAGCCAACCAACCCGTATCAAATTGGGTGAAAAACGGCTGCATGTGAAAGAAGAAGAAGAAGCTCTTATTAAGAACCGGCCACTTAGACGAGGCAAGCCAGAACGGCCATTTATCAATGGGAAGCGGACTTCTTATTAAGAGGCAGACATTCTCTTACGAAGGACAAGTTTTGCCCTCACCCCCTGGCTGGCGAAGAGCCTCGGAACCATGACGCGTGCATCTTAACCGCCACGACTTCCACCCACAGACCTGCTTGTCCCAGTCTTTCCCCATGTGAGAGCGCGCGCGCGGTCGAGTCACACCTGGGTCGCGGCTCTGGCCGCTTCCTCTTCGGGAGCGTGCCGAGCCTCGGCCGAATCGGGGGCCCCCCGCCGGGGGGGGGCTCCGAGGCACCTCGCGTGCTCCGAGGCGCGAGGGACGGACGCCGGGGAGCTTCGAGGGCCGCGCGCGGGTCGTGACGGCAGGGAGGGGAGCTGGGAGCGGGGGGGAGCATGACAGGTGAGTTCGTTTGACCGATGCCCATCTCCAGCGGCGTGGCCTGGGCCCCACCGGCCGATTGACCCCCCCCCTAGACGGGGGATATGAGTCTTTCCCTCCGGGTCTCGGGGGGTGTATCCCCAACGGGGGTGGTAATTTGGTGGGGGTCTCGGGATGGGGACGGGGCTTGGTTAAACGATACCGAATGGGCACATTTTCCACCACCACCACCAAAGGTAAGACGCAGGAGAAGGGAGGATTGAGGAGGCCCCTCTTGCTCCTTATCCTCCAACTCCTGCTCCTCCCTCCCCTCTCCCACCTGTGGTGGTGGTGGCGGAAGGTTGGCCCATCAGAGTATGGAGGGAGAGTGACGAATGCGACGAGAGGGAGGCACCAGGAGGGACTTCAACACCATCACCAAGGCCGCGCTGATGGCGTGCTCGGTTCACGGTGCGGTTGGGAATCTTGTCTTTGTGACACCGAGCTCACGCAACACAAAATGTAGGAAAACACGAAACACCGTTTCCTGCATTTCAAGTATGCCAATGTCTCGAACGAAACGACACAGCGAGTTTTAGGAAAACACGAACCACGCGTTCTTACAAATGGTTTGGCCACGAACCACGCCTTCCTACGATTGGTTTTCCGAATTCGCCGTGAGTTAACACACCGTTAGCGCGTCTACGGCACCATGATCACCTCTGGGCCGTGCGACCGCCAACGCGTCTCGTCGGCGTACGTCTTTTACGAGGTACCCTCGACAATGCCGTGGACCCTGAGTGGAGCATTAACAAATCCCGTACGAGACCTCAAAGTATTCCGTAAACAGTTGGTTGCTCCAGCGGACTCTTGATTCGGTTCCGAGGTACCTGTGTGGGAAAGCCAGGTGGGAGCGATGCTGCCGCCCCTGGGCGCCTCGTGGGCGCCGCCCGGGAGTTCTGGGGTGTTCGCCCAGTTGCCACCCCTGTGGCGCATCGTGGGCCCAATGTAGCTGACACCCCATGGCGTGCGCCACATAGCGTGCACCACATAGAGCGCTCCACATAGCTTGCACCTCACGGCGTGCACTGCATAGCTTGCACCACGTATATAGGCGGGTATCCATGAGGTCCCCACAAGAAGCCCCAGAGAGGCCTCCCACGAGACCCAAAGAGGCCTCCCGCTGCAACAACACATACACGGTAGCGGGATGGGACGGATGCCAAAAGATCTTGTTGTGCGCGTTCGTTGCATAACATATCTTTTCAATATAGGCAGCTGCTTTCGGACTGTGATCAACAACCTGACCGCGTAATCCACAAGCCCTACCGTCAGTCGTTGCCAAAACAGACAACAGGGAAGATGTCATTGGCCCTTGATGAAGTCATTTGCTTTGTTCCCCTGGCTGCCGATCAGTATACTGCAATATTGATGGAAATGGCCTGCCGCATCCTCCATCCCCGTGTGGTCCAACCCAGACCGATGCCGCCTGCCCGTCCCGCGGTCCACCTGCTTTGGCCTGGTCGGGATAAAATACCCACTTGTAGTTTCACTATATTGTTTTACAAGCTTGGGTGCAGCTCGGATCACAAACAAAATACACGAACTGCTAACCTGCGCTTGCCACGCTGCCCCCGCCTACCGTGCTGATTGGGGAGGGGGTGAAGGTTTGGTGGGCAGTCTGGTTTTGTAGATGGTCCTTCCTCTTGGCCGCACCAATCAGACAGGGACCAACTGGCACGCTCCTGTGCCGAACCAGAAAGAGGCCAGCACATCCTAACCTAATGTACTGCACGACCCTCATCCGCACCCTTGATCTTGCATTAATGCGTGGGGGGGGGGGAAAAGCAGGTCGGGCGGATATCGCGTATACCTAGACAGGGCAAGTTGGTTGGTCTGCATGGCACCCGAGTTCCCGAAGGTGGGGACATGATAGAGTGGTTGCGAGCGTGCCTACAGAGACAGCGGATACGCCAGAAAGTGTCATGCATTAGTACTAGTTTATGGCTGAGTACACAAGTCTGCTTGCCACAGGGACACAAACTAAGCATGTAGATGATTGCGTGAGAGTGCGTGTGAGCAGGTGAACCCATGAGTAAGTACGTGAACATGGACCAGCGTAAACGTGAATGCATGAAACGGTTGATGGCAATGGCTGGGCGAGCGGAAGCAGTGTCTAGAACTTTGTCCATGTCTGGGCAGGAGAGAATAATGCGTTTGTGCACATGCGAACGCGACGAGTAGCCAATGCGCGTGTAGCGGCTAAGGGCGGAAAAACGTGTGGCATGTCTAACGTGTAAACGAACGCAGACGCTCATGGTCGCAGAAGCATGCGGCGAAAGGCTACTGTCAGAGAACCACGCAAGTATAGATGTCACGCGAGCCCGTTCGAAACCGAACAACAGGGAGGGTAATAGCAGGTAGCCGTATGAGGAGCTACATAGAAGGGTCCAATTGTATGAGGATGGGTGCCACGGTCAGCGGGCGAATCTTCGAGAAATGATCGCGAACACATATAGAATTATCGGAGTCAGGCGCCCGAGCGGTCATTGTCATTCACTGTCCCCAGGTGCGTGGCCGACTTGGAGCTCCGCGGCGCGGATTCCGCTCGATTTTCTGAGGTGGTCGACCGTCCTCGCCCGCGACGCGCCCGACCCACCCGCGACCCACCCCGCGACCCACCCCGCGACCCCAAGAGGAACATCCGCGACGCACCAGCGACCTACACGTGACCCACACACGTTGCTTTGATGAAAATTCGTCCTGCAGCGGACTCGTCGTGTATTTTGTCGAAATCGGAGACTGCGGCGAATCTCGCAGACTGCCGGCGACCCCGCCGTCCCCTCACTCTTACCCGCAACTGCGTGGCACTTGATATCAAGCACAACTCGCTCAATCATCGAATGGACGTGTGGCTTGGTGCGTGTGTGCGTAGATGATGCTGATGAGAACGTCCCCACAAATTGTGAATAATCGTCCTAACCGGTCATATGCAAACGGCACGTGGTGGTCACAATTTGTCATCGCTGTGCCATTGTGTTGGAAACATGTGCGCTATAGAACGACTTCCGCATCGCGCTGGAGAGAAGAAGCCCAACAACAATACGGGAGCAGGAACGGTCGCGACGACGAGTTGGCCATCCTGCCCCTATCCCGTCGCCCTCCTCCCCTCCCTCACCCTCCCTTCCCCTCCTCCTCCTTCTCCTCCTCCTCCCTCCCTTCCTTTTCCTTCCCCTCCTCCTCCTCCTCCTCCTCCTCCTCCTCCTCCTCCTCCTCCTCCTCCTATACCCCCCATCTGCGCGTGGCTGGGTCTTGTGTGTAGCCGACCAGCCACAACTGGGGGAACTGTGGTCCTTACCCCCCCTTGGGGAACCCGCCGCATCGACGCTCTCTCGAGAGGGGTGCCGAAATCGATGGGTCCCCCAGGGGGGTAAGGACCACAGATCCCCCAGTTGTGGCTGGCCTGTGTAGTGACCTCGCTGGTGCCCGGGGGGCAGACCCCAGGTCCCTGAGCCGCGTGGCCTGGGCCCGTCGCGCGCGCTTCTTGTGGCACGACCATTCTGCAACACGCCGCCGTGCGCATGGCGGCGGCGCCAGACAAGCCTGCGTGTGTGAGTGTGTGTGCGTGTGTCTGTGTGCGGATGTGTGAGTGCGTGTGTGTGTGTGTATGTCTGTGTAAATGTGTGTGTATGTGTGGTCGCGTGTGCTTTTATGTGTTTTCTGTGTGTGCATGTGTATGTTTGCGTCTGCTCGTATGTGTTTATGTGTGTGCTGGCGTGTGCTCGTATGTGTTTCTGTGTGTGAATGCGTGTGTGTGTGTGTGTGTGTGTGTGTGTGTGTGTGTGTGCGTGTGTGAGTGCGTGTGTGAGTGTGTGTGTGTGTGTTTGTGTGGGTGCGTGCGTGCGTGCGTGCGTGCGTGCGTGCGTGTGCGTGTGCGTGTGCGTGTGCGTGTGCGTGTGCGTGTGCGCGCGCGTGCGTGCAAGCGTGCGCGTGTGTGCAAGCGTGAGCGTGTGTGCGTGTGTGCGTGTGTGCGCGTGTGTGTGTGTGTGTGTTTAGCGGGGCCGATTCCGCTCACCGGTCGATCCAGAAGTGCGTCTTCACGTGGGCTTCGGCCTCGGAATCGCTCCAGTAGAAGATGGATAGATACTTCGTCCAGAGCGGGCCCAGCCTCCGTACCGCGTAAACCCTCGACTGCATCCCTCTGGCCCGCGAGTCGAACAAAAAACATGTATATGTGTGCGTGCATGTGGCCGCGCCTCAGCCCCTGGGTGTGGCCGCGATGCCGCCCCGCGTCGACGGCCAGGCTGCGTCAACGCAGGCTGGCCGCCAGGCCACTCCAGTCGAAGTCCTTCGCGTTGAGTGCTATCCCTCCTCTTCCTCTCCCCGCGGCCGCGTTCCGCCCGTGTCTCCTTCTCTTGCAGCAGGGCAACTCGTGCTGGCCATCGCCTGGCCACTGGAGCACGCGCGCGGATTGCCTCTGCCGCGCTGCGACGAAAAAGCGTGCGTGTGGCAGCCTGGGCGAAAACAACCCCTTCTGCCGACCTGGCCAACAACTGCAGGCCCCTCCTTGCCACCGCGCCCTCGCGTAGGAGCAGACGAGAAGTCGGCCCCCGTGCTTGCCTTCTGGGAGCGAGCACGGCTGCCGCCAGCGCCCTCGCGGTCGCCGTGAGGCTCGTCGTCGTCGTCGTCGTCGTCGTCGTCGTCGTCGTCGTCGACGTCGTGGTCGCTGGAGCTCGTCATCGTCGTCGCCGTCGTCGTGCTTCCCTGCCCCAAAAGAGCGCGCGTCCTCCAGGCCCGCTGGCTGCGCGGGCGTGGCGAAGGGCAGGCACAGGAGCGCCACAACGGCGGCGGTGGCCCTGCGCCGCCCCGGGCCGCACCCCGACGTCCCGCCCCCTCTCCCGGAAGACCAAAAGGTATCGATGCCGCTACTCCCCAGACCTCTCCCGGGGTGCGTTCTGACCCGGATTTTTCGAGGCGAATCCGGCGGCGGCGACGAGGAATGCCCAGGAGGCCCAAAAAGGGGCAAACGAGGGGAGGGGGTAGAGGTATGGGTACCTTTCCCTCCTCCGACACCCAGCGCACGGGGCACCCCACAGTCGGGAGCGGCCAAGAGGGGGGTGTCCAAAGGGGGGGGTGCAAATCACGACCGGCGGCATGTGCGCGGCCCAGCGGGGGGGGCAGGGACGTAATGAACTAAGAAGAGGCACCATGAAATCTGGGAAACTATCATGACCCCCGCCATGATACCCCCCCCCCTAGTCATCACCCCCCTCTTTTCCTCCTCTGACGCACCCCGCCGTCCCGCCCCCTCTCTGCGCTGGTCGCGGCTGCTCTTCGAGGCCGCCCCCAGGCCCTGCCGATTTCGAAGCGAATCCGGCGGTGGCGACGAGGAATGCCCAGGAGGCCCACAAAGGGGAAAACGAGGGAAGGGTAGAGGTATGAGGTATGGGTACCTTTTCCTCCTCCGACGCACCCCGCCGTCCCGCGCCCCCTCTCGGCGCCGGGCGCGGCTGCTCTTCGAGGCCGCCCGCAGGCCCTCTGCACGGCAGGCTCCCGCGTCGTGGCGGCCCTTGGGCGTCGGCTTCGGACACCGCGCGGAGCGCTCGGCCTCGGAAGCGATCGGCGGCCTCCCCAGTTCTGAATGGGGCCCTGGGGCTCACTTTTCTGATCTGCGGGTCGAGAGCGAACCTCTTCCGATAGAAGCTAAGCGGGCCGCGCACAGTTTTAACTGGCAGAGGGAAGGCAAAAGAAGGCGGGGCCTCACGTCAAGGCCGAGAGAGGGCGAAGCCCTGGGATCAGGCGGTGTCGAAGTTGAAGTGCGGGAAAAGGTACACCTTGGACAGGAGCCCGGCCCTGGGGCACACAGGTAAATACACACGAAGAAAAGGCTTCCCCATATGTTTCCATTCTGGGTTTTTGTCTTCCCTCCCCCACTTCCCATACTTTCCCATATTTTCGGGGGAATCGACGATTCACTGTGTCTGTGTGCATTTTTCCCTCCTGAAGGTTTTCAGATCCTTCCATGCTGGCCGATGCTGGGCCGCAGGCGGCGCTCAACATTGAGCGTCCGAGGCGGGGTCGCGGCGCGTCGACACGACGCGAAACTAGCGCACCCTCTTTCCTCGTCTCCTCCCCTGCCCCCTCTCCTCCCCTTGTGGAGTGGTCGTAGGGAGCGCGAGAGAAGGCTAGGAAGCAACTGCTGGGGGGTCTTCGTCAGGAAGATTAGAACAGATTCAGCCCCATTGGGGGGCTGCTGCGCCAAATTAGGCCGCGGATTCAGCAGAATCATGCCAGATTAAGAGAGGGTTATACGGGATTCGACCAGATTAAGCGTGACCAAACCGGTTTCAGCCCCATTGGGTCTGGTGGGTCGCGGGTGCGTCGAGGGTGGATCGCAGGAGGGTCGCGGGCGGGTCGCGGGCCGGGTCGCGGGGTGGACGACGACAACAACGGCGCAACAACAGCAGAACAACAATGCAACAACGACGGCACCAACAGCAACACCAACAACATGAACAACCACAGCAGCAACACCAACAACAATACCCACACCAGCAACACCAACCACAACAAACTACAACAACAGCAGCAGCAACACCAACCAACAACAACATCACCACCAACAGCAACACCAACAACACCACCGCCACCAACAACAACAGTAGCAGCAACAACACCAATGACAACAACAACGACAAGCGCAACAATACCAACACCAACAACAAGCACTTGACCCAAATGCTAGATGCTTCTACTTGCAGCATGCATCCATCATGAGAACACGCACGTATTGGGAAATATGTTTCTTGCACATGGGAGTCCGATGTTCCCGCTCCCGGATCTCCCGCACGAGGAGATCTTGGCAACACCTCTTCCGCCACAATTCAGCATCTCCAGCCAGGATTGCACATCGCCTTCGCGATCCCCCTGCCCGGGACTTGCTTCTAGGTGTCAGACCTCATGGAGAAGCCTCGCACCCTCTGGGGAAATCCTGTGGAGAGCCCCCGAAACCTGTGAGAGAAGCTTCAGAGCTTAGGCCCCTCGACTTTCGACCTCTTCTCGAGGGCCGTTTTCGCGTCGGCCGCTGTCTGATGGCGCCCGTGGCTCGTCGTCGTCATCCTCCTCCTCGTTCTCCCCCCCCCTCCTCCCCGCACTCCTTCTCCAAAACATGTCCCTGGCGCTGGGTCTTTCCAGGAGTTCCAGGAGGCCCCCGAAAGCCGCCAAAGGACGACGACGACGACGACGACTGCGGTGGCGGCGGCGGTGGCGACCACGGCGACGACGACACGCCCCAGGACACGAGCGCGATCGATGTCGCGCGGAGCAGGCACGAGAGCGCAAGAGCGCACTCATGTTGTCCAACAAAAAATCTTGTTTAGCGACGACGACAACGACGACGACGACGACGGCGACGGCGGCTGCGGCGGCAGCAGCAACGGCGCCGACGACGGCGCCGACGCCAGGCCCGAGGACACGAGCGAGAGCGCGGTCGCGCGGAGAAGGCGCGAGAGCGCATTCAGAGAGTCCAACAAGAATACACGTTCACGAATTAAGGTCCACCAGGGACTAGGGAAACCTCAAGGTCTCCTGGGAAGTCTTGAATAAATGCGGAGCGCCGTTGTTTGTGAGGAGCCCTGGTGCGGGAGCGCTGGTCCTGAGGTGAAAGGCAGGGAAGTACGAGCGGGAGCGCCGATTTTGTTGGAAAGGCGGCTTCGGGGGGCAAGCAAGCGCCCTGTCCCCGAATGAGAAAGGAGGAGGTATCGAGCCGGAGCGTTGTTGTTGTTTGGGGGCCGTTTTTGGCGCGAGCCAGCGCTAGGCGAGAGCGCGAAATCGCACTCAGGGTGTCCAGTCCAACAATGCAAATTGTTTCGCAATTAAGGTTCAACAGCAGCAACGACGACGAGGACGAGGACACAGCAAACACAACGTCAACGACAACAACATCATCATTAACAAGAATCACCATTTCACGACTACTCTCTCTTATTGGCTCGCTTGCCAGTCAACGCGTATATCCCAAACCCTCGATACCCGCCCTCTTCGTCTTGGATCGTGTCCCTTTAGCGGTATATGTCTTTCTTACCTGCAACGCCTATTGCGTTCAGCCCCTGAGGCAGGGGAAAAGAGGAAGGGTAGCAGGATGGGGCACGAGAGAGTGTAGCAGGAGGGGGGTTAGGAGCAGAAACACGTGGCAGAACCAGACGGGCAGATCGGGCGGGGGCAGATCGGGCGGGTAGACTCTAACGGGCGGGTCGGAAGGCGGGCCCAGGCGGCCAGGTCGAGCAGGCGGGTTGCTGCAGCGTGCGACCTGGATGACTCGCGAGGAAGTCTCTAGCGATAACACGATTCTTGAGTAAACCGTGAGACATCCACAGCGAGAACGTGATTCCTGAGTGTCGAGGGCGCGGCGTCTAAATACATTGCGGGCAATTCCCGCACGAGAGCGCGATGTCTGTGTAAATTGTGGGGACGTCCCCGCGAGAGCGCGACCTGGTGACACATTGTGAGGAAATATCAGGCGGGAGCCGGAACAAGGGGGAGCTGGAGTCCCATCCTTGGCGCGCGGAGAGTGTCAGGGGCGGTTCTGGATGCGCCGCCAGGGTGTCCCAGCGCGGACCGCCAAAAGTTACGAATCCTGGAGGGAGAGATCGCGGGGACCATGACCAAGACTGAATGCAGAAACGTCGTATCTACCTTGGCCACCGTCGATCTTGGCCAGCATCAATTCGTGGATCATCCTGGCGAATCGGCGACGGCTGGCATGGGCCCTCGTCTCTTCCTCCAAATGCTCCTCGAGCCTGTTTGTTTTTGTTCGGGGGGGGGGGGAACTCCTAGACAGGGACAACATCGGACTGGGATAGATCGGGGATCTCTGAGATCAGGCGGTGCTGGAGGATGTCTCGGGCGCCGCGGATTTCTCAGAGCGTTCCGGAGCTCGGCGGTGTGCCGTGGTGGAACGGTGAGAGGGAGCGGACCCTCTCAGAAGGCGGGGGGGCATCTCGGAAGCCGTCCAGCCTTCTGAGGAGACATCGTGTGTCTGGAGAAAGATGCGAAAACCTCTCGGAAGGCTGGAGGCCTTCCGCGCCTTCTGGGAAGGCCCGCCCCTCTGACTCCCCCCCTGGGCTCGCCGCCAAGGAACGTTCCGAGAGCGTTCCGCAACGCTCGGGAATTATGTATCCCTGTCCGGGCTCCGCCCGATGTCCCCCCCGAGTCAGTTTCTCTACATTCTGCTACGGATGGAGGGGGGGGCTGGTGTATCCCGAAGTAAAGTCTGAACTGCACACAAGGTGGGACTCGCTTGAACGTCTTTCTGGCCCTTGCGCTGGCGGAGAAAGCGGCGCACAGGGGAGGGGGGGAAAACACCATGCAGATAAGCTTGCTAGAATATGAAAACAAAAAACATATGTTTTTTTTCTCTCCCTCTCTCTCTCTCTCTTTCTTTTTCTCTCTCTCTCTCTCTCTCTTTCTCTCTCGGGGAGACGCAAAGTACACCGATACCGCTGCCCCGCGGCCCTCTCCTGGGGCGCGTTCTGACCGGAACTTCGAGTCGACTCCAGCGGTGGCGACGAGAGCCTCCCAGGAGGCTGAAACAGTAACCTGGCGAAGGACCCAGCCAAATGCGGTTGTGAGTGCAGTCGTTGTTCGTGTCGCCGCCGGTGGAGCTCCACATGCGGCCGCGAAACGTGTGACGGGTGGAAGAGTGCGGGGCCGCCATGCAGGCCCTGCCACTGGGCTCTTAGGAACCCCCTACAAGGCCACGAACCGTGTGAGGGGTGTGCCGAGTTGGGGCGGGGCCGCCAGGCGGACCCTGCCACTGGGGCCTTGGGAGGAGCTCCCTGTGGCGCCACGAACCGTG